AGTTTTGAATCTTAGTTCTGAATTTATTCTTGACTACCCTCTTACTACTATTCACCATCCAAACTTCATTACACTATATAGCTATACTATATAGCTATATATTAGGTCTGTCTAATCACCTAGCTTCCTATACGCTAACTACTTGCTCATACCCTTAAATATTATCTTCGGTACTTTATTAATAAAAGCTAAATAATATAGCTAAACTTATTTATATTAGTAGAATATACTTATAATAATATAGTTAACTTAATAATAAAATTCTCCCCTTTCTAAGCTTTAATAGGCTATTCGCCTAGCTTCTAATACTAATTTAAGGGCGAATCGGCCTTAGGAGAGGTCCTAGCGGTATCGAGTACCGTCAAAGGTCTCAGCCTTTAGAAGCTTAGGTGCTCCGACAGAAGTTGCTAGTGCTAAAGCGACGACTTAAGTATAGAGTTGCTCTAAGTGGTCCTTCACGCTTGCTGCATGGTCGTTGTAGTTTCCTCCGAGGAGGTTTAAGTTACTCTGAAGCTCCTTCACGATTACCTTAAGATTTCGGATCTCATTATCTCGTTCGTCGTCAGAGTTAGGTTCGGTAGCTAGTGCCCTAGCGGGAATCTTTCCCTTCGAAGTGCTGTCATTACCTACTATGATGACTTTGCTTCACGGTTCAAAGACAGGGCGATCAATGTGTTACGCGGAGCCGACTGGTCACTATGAGTTAGGATAACTTCGGGTTATACTTACCTAGTCCTAGCTGCAGATTCCAAGAGTATCTCTCAATCGTACCGTTACTTCGCAAAGCCTTACTACGGGATGGATCCTGTTGAGTGTCTTGTAGAACATGCCAGAAGTGCGCGCTAAGTAAGTCAATCACTAAGTATTGCTACTGAGTAAATCCCCTACTTATAGGTTGGGTTGTCTTAAGGTGAACTATGAAGTGCAAAGTACTAAAGGTAATAACCAAGTAATAATGTGCAATAGAGTCCTAGTAAACTAAGTAATTGATCGCGAAGAACTAAATACATGGTGTGGAATGAGTGTCCTTATATATCCAGTTCCTCCGACCCTAGGCTATGATCGGGTCATACCCTAAGTATGATCCGATCATATCGTGAGTATGGTCTTGTCATAGCTCGGTTATGATCCCGTAACGCTCTGATTATATCCGGGCTATGTTCTGTAGTCATGTGATCCGTCGTGTCCTTATAACGTGATATTTCTCAACCGTTACGTTCGTCCAACCTTCTGCCTTGCTGACTGATCCAAGTTGATTGGTTGTCAATGTCTCCTTCCCCCGCATTAGCGTGTTGTGCCTGATAACTTCGTAACATATTCTAACTTACGTATCCTCTTTAGGACTTTTATTTATTTCTATATATTAATTTCTCTCGAGGGCGAGAGAGTCCTTAGAGGGGGGATAATTATGATAATATTTTGATAAGGCTATTCGTATATCGATATTAGGGCCTTAGGCATACGTAGACCGAGGGTTCTACTAAAGCGGTAGCTATCCGGCGGTCAGCCGGTAGCCCCTTAGCCGAGATACGCGATAGCCCCGCTATATAGAAACCACGTCTATAGTATATACTATACGTTGGCTATTCGGTGGGCTTCCGGCATAGTTTACCCCTTACTTCGTGTTTAATTCCTATTTGCATAAAAGATGTTATATTTAAGCAGATGCTTAAGGAAGTAGGATTCATCTTCCTCAAGAAACAGTCTTTGTCTTAATCTGACTTAGTGCTTTTCTCTCCTACCTAGTTGATAGGCCTTCTACCCTGTAAAGTAGTATACTCTTAATAGTTAATATATAGAGAGATAATCTCGAATCGTTAGTAAGGGGTTACTAGCTAACCGCTAGTTACCTACCGCCTTAGTAGAATCTTTAGTACGCGGGTGCCTAAGGTACTAATATTAATATATAAATAGCCTTATTAAAATATCATAATATAAAGTATACGATTTCCGCTAAATTTAACTAAAATAAGCTAGATAAATAGGCTATAGAATAGAAACGACTAGGCTAAGTAATATTACTAGATCCCTTATTATACTATTTATAGTAGGCTAAATAGTTTTTATTCTTAACTACCTACCTACTACTATTTACCGTCTAAACTTTATTATATTATATAACTATACTATATGGCTATATACTAGGTCTGCCTAATAAACTAGCTTCCTATACGCTTATGACTAATATACCCTCGAAATGTTTATATAATACACTTATATTCGGATGATATAAGGTTATCTATTGAAGCTAATATATATGTTCCTTTACAATACCGTTTTCTCCCTACTAAGGCCGTGACTTTTATATATAGACTATCTCATGATTACGGTTAAATCGCTTATATCTGGCAAATAAAAATAGAAAAATTTACATCGTACGATTGATTTCAACCATCTATAGCCGGGATAATCATAGGAATTCCCCTCTAAGGCGACAGCCATTCCAGCCCGAGAAGCGAGAGCGAGATACCATCGGATGATTTAAAACGGTCTGGAGATTATTCATCCCGTACACCTCCATCTGTACAGCCAGCCACGGGATCAGAACTCGGCTGATGAAACGGATGTAAAGGCTAGGAAGGTAAAAATTCACCAACTTTGTCCTCGGGATCGACCGAAGGGCATGTTACTGATGGCGTCCGTTTGTTCGCGGTTGAGGTAACCCGGGATGGGGGCATGTAAGGGATCCGTTCTTATAGATCAGGTAATTCATGCCAGCAAGAATCATCGCTGTTAAAAAGAGTGTAAGTCGTCCCTCGGGGCAGGAGATGCTACTGAGAAGTATATCAACATGCTTATGTTAGCTTTCATCAAAGGGGTCCCCGAGAGTCAAGCAGAGAGAGCTGTGGCTAACAGGCTCGGTATCATAATAAGCGGGTTCATGGCTAGTCTAAGGAAAATGAATCCTACAAGCCACAGGAACCATGGGACAAAGTTATGGGCGGATTGACCTCGGTTGGCCGTCGCGAATCTCTCTATCAACTGGCCCAGATAAGAGTGTGAGGGCGATCCGAAGCGATTAGCGTGTGATTGATTACGCGCTTAGGTCAGCATCGTCATATCTTTACCAGGACTATACCCAAAATAATGAGTAAATTACTTGACAACGAAGGATGACCCGAGACTGCTCGATCATGAGATGATCTTGGTCTCGTCATAATAAAAGCTCGATCTGTGCTATCGTACTGTGATCCATGCAGTAGTATGTACTCAATACACCCATACTAAAAAATAATCATGGAGGATCGACGAGATCACGCTACTCGGGTGGATCATTAGGCATGTCCAACTGGGGGAAGTGGGGTTTAATAGTGGAGTTACAATCGGACTCCTCGTAGCCGTGATTCGTCAGGATTCGACATCGATTCGAGTCCGCTGAAGTCCTGAAGTCCTGAGGCGATTGCCCGCATGGGATGTTGTCATGCGCTCCCGTGAGAGGATCCAATGAGCGCCACTAGGCTGCCGTGGCTGGGGCCCTGGTGGCCGATCCGTGTCATCTTCGTCACCTGAGGGCTGAAGAGGCTCGAGGGCAGGTTGAAGGAGGGGTAATAAGAAAGCAGATAAGAGGCATTGAAAGGGTCAATTCATTCTGATGGAAGGGTAGGTGGGTAAGGCGAGGAGGCAATTGAGGAATTAAGGAATGGAAGATTTCGGGGTCAGGTACTCCGGAGAGAGAGAGAAGAAAGGTTGGTCATGGGTATCGGCGATCACGAGCCTGGCGGTCCTGTAGTTTATTACAGCGTAATGGTGGGTGTATAGATGGCGCGTGCTTCATGAGGGATGGATCGGAATAGATATTAGATTTTGTGACTAGATGCCATGGAGGCTCTTGAATATTCAGTAGCCTATGTTGAGTATATGGGATATATCCGCTTCTATCGTAGAATGATCGCTATAAACCTAATTCACTTTATCAAAGGACATGGTTCATTTGATGCAGACGAGTACATACAGTACATCTGACACGAAATACCGTGACATACGAGTGATTACGTGGGAAATACCGTCAGCAACAACACAGCCGCCGCAGCCAGCAGATGACTGACTGCCTCGTCCCCCGCAGTTGGTCACCTTCCACAGCCCCCCTCCCGTAGCAAAGGAGTTTCATGATTGCCTCGGAAGATGATTGGCGAATTGATTCGGTCTCGCGGCATTGAGGAATCTGATTGGCTGGCCCCTTCCTGGTCGAATGACCCCGATTGACTCACTGACCTTCTAGCATTGAGTCATACCGACGATTTCCGAGCTCTATAGTTATACTGCTCCGCGGATAAGGCCGTTGTTCGCCCTGCCTTGGATTTTGTATGCGATTGCGGATTGCCGAATACGATTTGTCTGGGCTGACCCCTTATCTATAATGAATGTAGGCCTACCGCAGTAGCACTAGTTCTCGACGGTGAACCATGAATCAACAGCCAATCTCCTAAATAGACCCATCCCGGGCTTCTTGCGCGTTTGCAAATTCGGAGGAATTCAAGACCCGAGTCCTGCTTCTGCCTGGTAGGGTTGAATAATCGCCTCAAGGGGGGAAAAGCATGATGATTGGCTCATAGGGATATGTATCCAGTTTCTCTTGTCTGCCTAACCAGGTTCCCGTCGGGCGGGTGGTCCATGGGCTGAGATGATGGGATTCTTTGTATTGCGCCTCTTGTAATTTACAATATTACCGTGAATCCGTAATATTACGTTCTCATCCGAATCATTCGACTATTGAACTATGTTCTTTCAATCTTACAATCTTACCCATCTTACAAACCAAAAACCGCCTCCCCAATTCTCCCACTTATCAACCGCCCTTTCTCGTTTGCCCTCTTTTCCTCCTTTCCTTCCCTTCTTTACCCAGTTTCCCATAAAGTAGCCTTCCCTTCCCAGCCAGACTTGCCTCTGGCCTCTTTCGCCCCCCCTCCCCCGCCCTTTTAATCATTGCCTGGCTCTCTTTCGACTCGTGTTGACTCATAATCGGCCATTGGAAACACTTAACCCCGGTTATCGCCACTGCTGCCTGACAAATCACCTGGGTGTTGGACATGCACTTCCATTGACTTCCACCCTCGTCATATTCGGGCACATCAAAGACCAAGACTTTATTTCAACCGTGCTTCGCCTTCTGTTCCCCTTCCTCCCTTCTCTCACACACAGACATACTATACTCTCTCTCTCGCCTGTCTTTGCCCTGATCATCTTCCCCCACCCCCAATCTCGCCACTGTTCCCCGTGAGCAATTCAGTTGCATTTCCGGATTCTCTTCCATTCTGGACAATTGCAACGCAGACAAGCCCTCTCAGAAACCTCAAGATCAGACAAAGAAACAAATAAATCGTTCCGTGTCCCTGTCCAACCGTTCTCCTCTCTCCCAGCAGAGTTCCAATCTGGAATCTGGAATGTTCTCAACCTCTGGTGTAAAGCCGCCACTGCAATTGCTATCGCACAAGCAGTCGGGCCGACACTCCTCTCACGCCTCCATCATGAATCGCCTCCCAGTCTCTAGCCTCATGTCTCCCCCCGAATCGAAGCCCTTGGAGAGCTTCCACCCCCCTTCCCCCTTTGCTAAACCCGACACCTCCCTCGGGGACCTGATGAAGCTTCCCCCCATCTCAGCTGATCGCAAGCGAACACAGTCCGAGATGGATTTGCCCTCGCCACCAGTGACTCCGTATACGGGCGCCAAGAAGCGACGATCGCACACGGCCGACCAGATTGAGCGTGATGTCGAGGTGAATGCATCGCGAGATCCCGTGCTCTTCCCTCGCCACGACTCCGTGGCGCGAGAGGAGCCTCTCTTCGGGCCTATCCCCCCTCCTGCCGCGGAGGCCCTGGTGGAACAACACATCAATTCCCATATGGCCAGGTTTGATAACAAGCGGAACAAACCCACTCGTGATGAGTATCTTCTGGCCTTGTCCTGCGTGCCTATTGTCTCGACGCAATATAACCGCAACCCGGCAGCGTGGGCCCGTGAAGAACGGGAAACGCTGGAGCGCCAGCTAGTCCTGATGAACCGCTACCGTCCATCGGGGGAGCTGGAGGCCAAGCTGAAGAAGATTGCCCCAGCACCCATGAAGAAAGTAGCAGGAGGGACCCCGCGCGTTCCTCGAACTCGCGTCAAGCGTACCCCCAAATCTACCCCGAAACAACAGACCCTGGATTCCTTTGATACCTCTCCCGCCTCGGCATCCAAGCCTCGTGCCCTGGGCACGAATCGGGATGATACCGATTTCCAAGCCCTCCCAGACTATTCCCCACCTTTGGAGACGTTGGGTGGGAACTCAAAGGCACTCAAGGCAGACTGGAAGGGGCAAATGTTGGATTTGAGCAATGACCCGGACCGACATCTGCTCAGTCCTGCCGAGCTCAATCTGGCCTCGACGCTCCGGTTGTCCTGTGCAACCTACTTGTGCAGCAAGCGGCGAATTTTTGAAGCTCGCGTGCGTGCTCTCGGTGTGGGCAAAGAGTTCCGCAAGACCGATGCGCAGCAGGCCTGCAAGATTGACGTCAACAAAGCTAGCAAACTCTGGACCGCCTACGACCGTGTGGGATGGTTTAAGCCAGAGTACTTTCATCATCTGAGATAAAAAAACAATCTCACTCCCTACTTCTTCGATGGAGCTGGGATCCATCTGCACGCTGACCCGCTGACCTTGGATCGTGGGCCTCTCCCATCTGGCTTGACATCATTTGCCTATTTGCAGGCATAGGAACTCTCTCTTCTCTCCATCTCCCCCACATGGCTCGGGGCTCTGTTGCTCACTCCGGGTCATCTACGAAACTGACGTGTACAAGCATGATCAACGTTTATCATTATGTGATTCTTCGTGTCCTTGAAGCACTGGAGACACGACTACATTTTTTGGGTAACTGATCGTCTCTGCCCTCATCGGCTTGATTCTCATGAACATTAATCCTCGAACGACTTTCTATCTTGCTACCTGCCCCCCGACAGCCGCCCACTCTCAGACATACAGAAATTCTGGTGTCTATAGTATCTGGGCCTTGCTTTATTTCCAGTCTCTCTAACGATGGCTTTTCTTTATTTCATGTCCGATACGCATGACGACACATTCCTTCACAGATATCCCCTCAGTACAGAGCCTTCTTCTTCTCCCCCTTTCTGTGTACCTTTGGGTTCATTGCCTTCGCATTGACGTGCCGTTCTTGATATGCTTGCACCAATTAACATGCTCGTTCCGCTTCAATCCGGGCTATTATGTTTTTATTTTTTATTTATTTTTTGGCGTTCAAGGTTCCTCTCTCCGTCTAGAATGGCAGGCCTCGGTCAACTCGTGGTGTTTTGATTTTGGGGATTCCACCCTTGCTGTTATGTGAATTTTGCTTCATTTCTGCCCATTGCGTTCTTGTTTCCACCCGACCCCATCGCTTCACAAAGAGCATGAGGGATGATATGATACCCGGACCAGATACGATTCTTTTTGAATGACATAACCCATTGCAAATGACTTCCGTGTCCTTCGATAAGTAATAGTATCCTTGTATTCGTAGTCGAAAGTGTATTTCTACTTGAAGATCCTTCCTAATCGGGTAAATGACTCTTGTCGTGCTAGTAGAAAAGTCAACTTGAAGTCACTTCCATGTCATCTCGGAGATCATAATAGACTGAAAAGATCTTGGTACGATAAAGATCTCTTGGTCCCTGCGGTCATTCTGGCAAAGTTGGCCAGACCGTAATGATGTGGTTCGCCGAGTGTACGTGTGTGGGGCGCCCTATTTTCATTTCCAGTCAATTCGGTGATCTGGCTCCGCCCCGGCGCCACCTTTTTCTGACGTCTCTCTCACGCTCGTCCCTCCATCAACTGTTCCACTCCATCCAACTTCATCGCTCCATCGCTCCCTCCCTCCAGTTCAACTCCCGCGCGATACCTGTCGCCATGTCGCAGGCAGATGGCCCCCGTGCCGAGTCCATCGACGAGCAGGAGCGCGCTCACGCCGCCGATGGCGACAAGAAGTCCAAATCCCGAAAACCCGCCAGTACGCGTCCCCTTTCGCTCTGAGCCTCGAGATCCGTTGTCCCTTCCGTGTTTGTCGACTGACTTGATGTGTTATTAGATACCGCTTTTCGACAACAGCGATTGAAAGCCTGGCAGTGAGCTTATTCTTTGATTCCGGATCATCCGCCTAGCCAATTGGCACTGACCGATGCCTTCCGCTTAGACCGATCCTGACCCCCAAGAGCGTGCTGCCTTTGTTCTTCATCATTGGCGTCCTCTTCGCGCCTATCGGTGGCGTCCTTCTCTGGGCGAGCTCCCAGGTACGTTGCAGCTTCGCCTAGCAAATCGCTCTCATCACGCATCTGACTCCGTTTGTTCGACTAGGTCCAAGAGCTTGTCATCGACTACACAGACTGCAAATCCAGTGCGCCAGAGAATACCAGAGCAGACATCTCAGACCGCGTATCCGCAACATTCAAAGCTTCGACCGCCGACAGCAAATACTATTGGCAACGATCCAATGGTACCGACAACACCACCGTGTGCTCTCTCTATTTCAACATCCCCGAATCGATGGGCCCTCCGGTTTTCCTGTACTACCGCCTCACCAACTTCTACCAGAACCACCGTCGCTACGTCCAGTCTTTGGACTTGGATCAGTTGAAGGGCACTGCGGTTCCGAATGGCACAATTTCGGGTAGCGTGTGCTCCCCCTTGGCGACCGACAGTGCTACCGGAAAGGCGTACTACCCCTGTGGCCTGATCGCCAACTCCATGTTCAATGACTCAATCGGCAATCCGGTGCTGACAGCGGACAAATCGACCAATTACACTATGACGAAGAAGGGAATTGCCTGGGACAGTGATAAAGCGCTGATCAAACAGACCCAATATAAGCCATGGGAAGTGGTCCCCCCACCGAACTGGAAGGACTACAACGGTTCCTACGAGAAGACCGGTATTCCTAATCTTCACGAAAATGAGGATTTCATGGTCTGGATGCGGACAGCGGGATTGCCATCCTTTAGCAAACTTTCCCGCCGAAACGATGATACTGCCATGCAGCCGGGAGATTATCGACTGGATATTGTCGACCGTACGTGAAATTTAATAACTCCCCAACCATGGAACGTTGCTAACGACAGACTAGAATTCCCGGTTACCGAGTACGATGGAACTAAGTCGATCTTACTCTCTACTCGCACGGTCATCGGTGGTAAAAACCCTTTCATGGGAATCGCCTACGTGGTCGTTGGCGGAGTTTGCGTACTCTTGGGCGCCTTGTTCACGGTGGCCTATTTAATCCGACCTAGGTATGTGTAACTTGATCGGTTGTGGTCTTGGTGCCAATAATCATCTCTCAACTATCGACATCTGCTAATTATCTTCTAGAAAACTGGGTGATCACACCTATCTGACCTGGGATGCGACCAGCCAACCAACCACTGCCGTGGCCTCGGGGCGGGATGACCGAATGCGCTCCAGTGCACCTTGAGGCCGCATTCCTCCCCTACAAATTTCTCTGCTTTTCGTTTCTTCCTTTGGGCGGTTCTTGATGATGCCAATTTCTTTGCTACACTACATCCCCCTCCCTTTTTTTTTCCTCTCTTTCATTCTTTTTATCTCTTTCTAGTTTCAATACTCCATGGGTTGCTACCTATACTGTGAATAAATGGATTTTCCTGGGCCGGGTGTTCAACAAGGAGTTTCGATGTATCTACCTACCACTATCACAACAACGAGCATTCTTTCTTCTTTACCTCACCTTTGGATGACCTCATCTCTCCGGCCGTGGAATTGGCCAGCCTTGGTGGATGCCAATGAATTGCACGTTTTCTCCGCTCCGCCTGGTTTACAGCTGTCGATCCCTCCGAACGGCACTCGGACCCCTTGCATGGGATATGCATTCCGTTCTCGATACAGCATTCTCCGGACTAACCGCGTCGGACCGACTCCATGATGGTTGCAGGTAGTCTAGTCTTATAGTGATTGATCTCGCGGAGGGGGGGACTCGGATCCTCCCCTCCAATGAGTTTGTGACGGAGGAATTGCGGCATCGGGGCATCCAACACCAACACCAACATCATCATGGTCTGTCACTCTTTAGCTCCGTTCGTGGTTTTTGTCACAGCCCTCCTTTTTCTGCAAGTGCAGTGCAGCCCAGTGGTATTTGAACAGCGCGGCATCTGTGCTACCGAAGACCCAGACACTCATTTCTTGCACGCCCTCGAGCGCGTCAGAACCGACGAGTCTCAACCATCCGACGCTGGATCAGAGGCTCGCAATGGCCCTATTGAGATTGAGACCTGGTTCCATATCATCACCAGCAAGGCCGAGCAAGACCAGGTTTCTGACGACATGATCGATTCTCAGGTCAGTTCCCCCTCCATTGCTCACGTGTCCGAAAATCCATTACGAGTCAGAAACAAATGCTAAATTATGAGCGTAGCTCTCTATTCTACAAGATGCGTATCAGGACGCGGGTATTCAATATCGACTGCAAGGTGTCACGCGCCATGTGAATGATGTTTGGGCTCGTAATGGAGATGACCTGGGCATGAAGTCGACACTTCGGAAAGGGACCTACAGGACTTTAAACGTTTACTTCCAAACCAACCTTCAGGCCGCCCCTGACCAAGCTGGACGTGCAAGTCACCGTGGTGCCGCTCATTCGAGTGATCTCTCGACCAGCGTGCTGGGCTTTTGCACCCTCCCCGATCCAAGCGTGAACGCCAGCAGTCCCCGTGCCGACTACGTCAAGGATGGTTGCAACGTTCTCGCCAGCGCGATGTCTGGAGGCTCACTGGACCAATATAACCGAGGAGGAACCGCGATTCATGAGATCGGACACTGGAATGGCCTTTTGCATACTTTCCAAGGAGAGTCGTGCTCCAAGGATAATCCAGGGGATTACATCGCCGATACGCCCCTGCAGTCCTCCCCAACAGCTGGATGCCCTGCTCGAAGGGACTCGTGTCCGGATTCGCCGGGGCTGGACCCCATCCATGATTTTATGGACTACTCATCTGACGTCTGCTACGAAAGTTTTACGCCTGGTCAAAACGACCGTATGCGAAATATGTGGGCAACGATGCGTGCGGGAAAATAGCTAATTGAATTCGTCTCGTTTGATTTCGTCGTTCATCTAGAAGGCCCTATATTAGACTTGTGTCCTGATCACACGTGATACCCTACCCTGGATAGCGGGCGACAGTCCCCCCTGGCAATTGGAGTAACTCGTCGAAAGGTGATAAGTTACGATTCAATCATGAGTCAACAGATAGAATGTGTCAAGGTTGAATAGTTATTTAATTTCTTTAGATACAACTACAAATCCGGGCTTGATTTTGTGAATGGTAACTGCACTCCTTGCAATTAGTCCTAATCCTACGAATGCTGTTCAAAGGACACTAAAAATAATAAAGAATAGGCTTATTTGAGGCCTGAGGGAACAAAGTACAAAAAATCCAGGATACATGGAAATGGATTTTAGAAATGAAAAACCGCTCACCACCGTCACATCGAGTAATCAATTTTAGCGCTTGCGCTTGGTACCACGGTCATCCTCGTCCATTCGAGCCTCCTTGTCCTGGCGCTTTGCTTTCTTCTCCAACTCATCCCAATCCTCACCACTCTCCTCGTCGCCACTGAAGTCCTCCTCGCTCCCGTCAGCACTAGCGTCTTCGTCGTACTCACTGTCCTCCTCGGAGCTTTCATCAGCGGCCAACTCCGAGTCGGAGAGCTCGAACGCCGACTCTTCCTCCTCATCAGAGCCCTCCGAGTCCGACTCGGCAGCCAGGAAAGACCAACCACCGTCGGTGAAGAAGCCGTACGGATCACTCACGACCGTCTTCATGATGGTGGTCCAGTTCAGATTCAGGGGACCCTCAGTGAATGCAATGTCAACGGAGTCAAGCCAATCCTTGACGCCCTCCAGCGCCTCAACGGGGATGGTATTGACATGGACAGGAGCCCGATGGAAGTCTTTGAACACAAAGACAAGATCGAAGTTTTTGAGACCAAACTATGGATAAGTTAGAGAATTATTCATCGCAGAAATGCATAGCAAGAAGGGGATTTCATCTTACCTGTACTCTCTCCAAGTGCGCGATCTCAATCTCATTGAGCGTAATGACCATGAATGGAGGCTCAGTAAGTTGTACAAGAGCATCGGTAGTGGGCTGGATCAAGACATTGGAACGGTTGGGAACACCAGTGAATCCAATCTCTCGGAAGGGAATATCGACATCGACACCTTCGTCCTTTCCAGCATCTGCAATCTTTTCGGCAAATGCCTTGAACTCACGGTCGAGGGCAGCTCGGCGTCGCCGTTCTTCCTGCTCAGCCTCGAACTCCTCTTCATCACCATAACGGTGCTTCCGGCGGCGGTTGCCAGTTTCATCGAACTGCATTTCGGTGGCCTCGCGGTAGAACTGGACATCACGAGTCTTCCTCTTTCCAATCATGATCGGCGTTTTGAGGTGCACGTGAATGAGAACGATTAACTCATGTGCGCAGGGTTGGAAGAACAGGTGCTTGACGTTGCTGAAAAGCACGTCGACATGCTCGCTGCGGAAAGGCGATAGGTAGCGAAGACCATTCTGGTGGATCTCCACTTCACCAGGCACACGCTTTCCATCAAGAGGAGGTCGCAGGTACACGTCGGGCAACTTCACAGGGCGTCGGTCTAGAATTTCCTGTTAGCATCCAAACCAAAGAGAGATCTCTTCACATTGGGGGGACTCATGGCATACTTCTGATTTCAACGAGCTTGTCCTGTTCAACAACGTCCTCCAATTCCTTCTTTTCTTGCTCCCGTCTCAAAGCAGTCTTGCGAAGCTCAGTGATATCCTGTGCCACCTGTGCCAGTCTATCATTGTTCTTAGAGCGCAGGGTCAAGTTGCGGACAAAGTGAGCAGATGGGTCTTCGAATGGCTGATCGTCCTTCCGGCCCACTCCCTGGCCAGGAGAGAGGAAGTTGATGCGCAAATACGCATACTCGCCCTCGTCGCTTTTGCTTGCATTCTTGATGGTGTTGATGTGGAAAGGTACTGGCCGACCCATGATGGGAACAATAACCGTCGCGGCCTTGTGATCAACGTAGATGGTCAAGTCCTTGACCTTGGGTGGAAGCTGGTTATCGCGCTTGTAGGACTCGAACCGCTTGAACTTCTTTTGGGCGACACCGTTGTCATCTCCTGTGGTGCCTGCAAACCTGTCCAAACCCTCCTTTGTCTTCTTTCCAGCAAGCTCTTTCTGGTGCTCACGACGGCGGGCTTCGGCACCCTCGTTGATCTGGGTTGGCCGCTCGGCACGCAGTTTAGTTCGCGTGACATTTCGGCTTGCAATAGCACTTGACTTCGATTCCTTCTTCTCCTTCACGGGCTTTTCGGGCTCTTCTTCATCTCCAAAGTAGAAAGAGACGGAGTCCATGTCGATCCCGGCATCTTTGGTGAAAATGTGAGGCCCACTTTCTCCAACGCGAACGGTGTCTGTGATCACCATGGAATAAACGTCACTTCCCTTCGACTTGGAGTCAGTATCCTTGACATCTGTCAGACCGATGGTAATTGCCAGAGTCATGCCATTCTTCAAAACTCGGTTGTTCTTGGCATTAAGGATCATGTTCGCATCGCGGAGCTCAATACCGATACCGGCACCGATGTTCTTAGTCAGGTGGTTCTCAAGCTCGGGCTTCTTCGAGCGGACGAGACTGAGTGCTTTGTTGTAGAGGTCCTTAGCCACCACACCATCGCGAATCTCTTTCATCACTGCATCGTGAAGGTTGAGCAGGAACGCATAGTTAGCTTCCTGAGACTTGCTGGGATCCACCAGGTAGGTACGGCCGATGAGTGAGTTGTAGGTTTTGTAGCGGATTCCAAAGCTAGACAGGATGATGCCCGGCTTCAGGTTGTTGCCGTCGGAGGTCGCCGTCAATTTCAGATCATAGGCTCCTCCACTCTGCACCACCGGTCCATAAGCCCAATCGATCTGCTCGGCATCGAATTCTGACGGCAGCCGTGCCAGCTTGTTGAAGAATTTGGAGTCGTCGATTTTGGCGTCCACCTTGGCCGCGAGAGCCTTGTGAGTGATTTGCTTTTCTTCGTCGAGAAGACGTGACATCTCTTCCACGAAGTACGACGACATCAAGCCACTGCAGGCTCTGGACGCATTCCGAATAGAAACCTGAATAGCCTGTTAGCAAGCTCACCTTACCAGGACCAGGAAGAAGGAGCGAAACGTACCAGCTCTTCTGGATCCTTGATCGCAAAGGCGCTAGAGAGCGCCGGTGTGATGTCCACTTCCTCAACTTCCTTGGACACCTCTGAGAATGCGCGCTTCCAATCGTCGGCGAAGGGACCGGTCGTTGTATCTTTAGGTAGGGTGCCGACTTTCTTCTGTATTCAAATGAAATGGTTAAATCATCGGTGGCAAAATTTCGACTCAGAAACAAGGTCTGCTTACTCCAGCGCCCTTGATAACTTCGAGACACTTTTCGAATGCCTTTGTCTTCGATTCCGGCTCCTTGGTGGTCACGAGAAGCTCGACCGGGATCTTTCCACCTTTCAGTGGCTCGAGGAGCTCAGCTATATTGCCCAAATATTAGCCTGATACCACTGAGTGCGACGAGATAGGATTGGTAGTACCTTTCTTAGCCGTTGTAACCACATAAATCGCCTCGGTTGTCAGGACGAAGAGGGTAGCAGGAAACTCGTAGCCAAGGAGCCAGAACTATAAGATGTCAACTAGTCAGCACCCTGGAGGTAAAATTGTTGCGTCTCGGGATAGTCATGGGAATAGAGAATGGATGAAATCCAGATGACATACGTGCATAGCATTGTTCTTTTGGAAGGAGCTCTCATCGCTCTTGGTCTTGCCCATGAGGATCACGATCGATCCGGCGCCACCAAAGAGGGTATTTCCCGAGCGCTTGTCAGCCTTCCATGATGCATAGAAGTTCGACAGATGGTTGAAGAAGGTGTTCTTGTCAATCGCAATCTTCTCGGCCATCTTGATAGCCTCGTGCAAGCAAAGCTTGCTGGCAACAGTGAGAGACCGGGCGCGAGAGAGGAGTTCGGTATGGAGCGCAAAATCAAGGTCGCATATGCCAGAGAAATCAAGGCAAAAGCGAAATGAAGCTTGAATAAGAAGGAGAGGGTGTTGTTGGAAGAGAGATCGATGTGGTGATGTCAAAGAACACCCTTGGGGGGAGGAAGAGAGGGAGAGAACGCGAAAAGCGCGTTTTGAGTTCGCTGCGGCTTCCCGTGCCCAGTTTTGCCTCTTTGGGCTTAGCGTGGGTTCTACGGAAAGTTTGGGGTTCTTTGCGGTCTCGCGGCCTCAAAATCTGTTGCCTTTTCACAATTCCTTTTCCCTCCCCTCCACTGAAGCCTCTGCTGGAGGCTGGTCGCAAATATCCCTCACCCTGACGTGGCCGTCACTATGTTCTATTTGGGGATCTGCTTTAATCGTCTGCTTTGACCGCCTCTGTTTGCTATACAATTCCCGAGATTCGGCAACCCCTCCGAGTGCAAAACAACCCGAACGAGAGTCGTTCCAGATGGTGTGCTGGGAGTGATACACTCAAAGTGTCCAGCTCTGCAATGAACCCTATCTTTTTGGAACCCAATATCGGCAACCCGGGGGCTTCTCGACGGAAACCTCGCAATGATGCTGCTACTGGAGCTTCCGCCGCGGGTGTCCGCGCCCTCAGTGCGCAAATGGTAGCTTTTTACTTCCGCGCCCCGATCAAGGCTTTTTTTCGTACTCGCGTTGAGTATGTGGTCTCCTAGTTGAGTGTATGTTGTACCTTGCTAATACGAGATTAGTTACATGGTATACACAGAGATCCTTCTTCTTCCCTTTCAATACCAATGGTCGATCCGCTAATGCATGCCTGTCCGATTGTTCGAAAATTAGGCATTTGCCAGAGCCGTGAACCCTCGTGTGGCTGATGGTAAATGGTCTATTCATACTACAACACCAGGTCTCCTGCTTCATGCTGTCAGGACCTATGGTTGGCGGTTTATTCCGGATCAAGTCTTGCCGCCTATGATGGCGAATGCAGGGTGAGCCATGAAGCGAGCTTCTCCTTGTCTCTGAAGATTGAAATGCTGACCGGTGAACCCCTTCACCTCATAACAGAGTCGGTGCCGTTCTATACACTTCCTACCTTCAAGTCCTCGGAATCCTACATGAACCTGTGTCGCAGGGCGTCAAGCGAGTCTGGCCTCCCGCTCCTCCTTCGGCCACTTTCACTGCCGGATTCGCCGCTGGAACCATCCAGTCGATCATTGCTGCCCCTTTAGATGCGCTGCAGGTTCGATTTCAAACTAGCGACATGTTAGACGGCCAGTATCGAAGCATGTGGCATTATGGACATCATAAACTGAACCAGATCGGCCTTCGCGGAGTTTTTGCAGGGTGGAGTCTCTCCTTCCTGCGAGACTCGCTGGGCTATGCCGTGTTCTTTTCCGCCTTTGAATACATCAAATCGCAGTCGTACTACTCCTTCATTACCTGGTACTATGGAGCGCTGCGTGCCGAGACGGTTGATCGACTCCCCTCCCCCGGGTCTAGCGACCGCGGAGTGCCTGCCATCAAGCCACATTACGCCTTGGAACCGTGTTTCCTCATGATGGCGGGCGTGGTGGCTTCGGTAGCCCAGCAAACCATTCAGCATCCGCTCAGCCGGATTCAGGACTTGCACCTCGGTCGGCTGGAGTATCTCGACCGCCAGGCGAGTCTGGACCCCACACGCCGGCAAATGCTGCGGCTATATTATCATGCGTACCAGGAGACCTGGAAACGGTGTCGGCGCAAGGCCACGCGAGCCGGCGGGTGGAGGTCGTGGCTCTTCCGCGGGTTTGCGGGGACTGCACTTCGCCAAGTGCCCAGCACGAGTGCCGGCCTGGTGATCTTTGAGTTGGTGCGTCGGCGGTATGCGAGCCTGGCGGACGCAGTACATATTCAGAAGGATGGATACGATATTCTCCTCAACTAAAGTCTTGCACGAAGCTGTCTCGATCTTTCTAGTGGCCCCCCATACCCGTTGAGATCCGACGTTGGCGGTTTTATTTCTGAGCGACTGGAGTGCTTTTCTTGGCTCCCGTGCATCTTACTCATTTTTCATTTTGTATATTACGTCGTACATAGATTTGGTTTCTTCACTTGGCTGCAGCAGATGATACCCAATTCTTTAATCCTTTTACTCGATCATCCATCGAGGCTGAAAGTCCAGAATCAGTCATTCCGAGAGGTCATGCATTAAGCACGGGCGCGGCTCAAGCGCCACCACTGTGGCAGAGTTAACGCATGGAACGTCGACGAGCGGCTATTGCAAGTGCATTTTCATGTCGGGAGAGTCAATCATAATCTATTCCAGGTCGTTCTTGGTGATGCTCGCTGAAACCCCATATGGATTGTTGGAGCAGTAGTTTCAAGAAACCATAAGAGAAACGCCTCCATCTCGCTACCCTGGGGCGCAGAATCAACGTATAGAAGGCCAGCATCTTTCCCATGAGAATGACTACGTACCGGATTCTCTCCAGGTAAATATCATCGAATATCATCAAATACCGTCAATGAATGAAAGGACACCACTGCAGTACTCATGATATTATCATAATTTGTGTCTCTAATGAGACAGATCAGGATCGCTAGTAGTAAAGTTTCGAATATATGTATTCTGTAGTATGATGATACACTGGGAAGTAAGAAGGCTGAGCTTTATAGACTTGTAATCAGTACTCCATACCAAAACGGTTGATATTTAATGACACTTGTTAGTTGTCTATCCTTAGTACTATGGATTTATGGTACACCCAAGCAACACATCGTCATCAACGGGTTAGTGTTTCTGGCTGGCGTGGAGGAGACTCCACTGTGGATCCCTCGATTTGACGCCCTCGACGTCGACGGAACGAGACAGATTCCCCCGTATTTTCTCGGCGTTCCCCCTGTTGGAGGACACTTGGACAAGTGGGCTGGGTTTGGGCTGAATCCGGGATCAGCCTCTCTCTCTTATCGTCTCGGAGCACTCTTGCTTTCCTTCCCCTAATTATCCTCCCTCTCTCAATTACCATAGTTGGACCTGTCAACGAGTTATCTCTGTCTTCTTTCTCACTCTCCAATTCAGTACTTCTCTACCTCTTCCCTCCTCCTCTTGGAACCGCATTGCCACGGAGTCTCTGCGAGAGACACTGCATCGTTTCTGTTTTGAGTGATTCCGAGATCATCCTAAGACAGTTTCCCCGATCGCATCTGCCATCCACCACTCGCCTGACCTCCTCTCGTTTCCACTTTTTTTCTTGGGCCCCTCTCACTGCCATCGTGGAGGTGCCGTCATCCTGCGTCGATCGCGCTGTGTGACGAGTGACGAACTGCCTATCGTGACCGCTTCAGCCTGCGTGGCGTCGCTAGTAAGACTATCCACGCCGAAAGGGGGTCGCGGCAGGTCCCCCTGCTTGGTCCTGCTGGTCTTGCCTGCTCCTCTTCCAGCTGGGTTCTCCGTACATTGCCCTGGACGGTCCCAGTCCTTACGAAAGTCTCCTCTCGTTGGACCGGGAGAGTTGTTCAAAAATAGACAAAATAATTAAAACCAAGAGGGCAACAAAAAGGGTTCCGAGGGCTGGAATATCAGCCCGCCCACCGCCAACATTCCTTCGTCAACCTCCCCACGCGCCATACCCCTCCGCAACCTTTCCGATTCCCACGCTCAGTTCACCGTTCTGGAATCTGCCAGCGAGAAGGGAAGTCGTCGCTCCTCCCTCTCGTCGACTCGCTCGGGCGAGTCAGACTTCTCCATCTGGTCAGACACGGGCGACCTTGCCGAACAGCTCGCCGAGGTTGAGGACCCGCTTCAGATCCGCCTCCGCAAGTCGCTCGACCGGGACTATCGTGCTCGACGAGGTCGAAGGAAACAAGCCCCCAAGCGAGTTCACTACCCACCCGATCTCGACGATCCCCGTCCTTCGATTGATCTTGAAAAGGATCATATCCGAATCCCTAATCCCCCGCCCCGACGTATCTCTAGAATCGAGCGGACCCTAGCCGCCATCATGTCTCCCCGCAATGGGCAAAATTCTCAACTACATGGCCTAGTGGGCAAGCCATTGTTGTAAGTCAATTGAGAACATGGACTCTTCACGGAGAGAACGGTAGACCGTGGAAGGAACGGGACTAGATCACGTTGGCTGACAGAATCATCTTGTGCTCGCCGTAGGTACTTTACGAGTGTCTTTGTATCGCTAGGTGTCTTCCTCTTTGGCTATGACCAAGGTGTCATGTCCGGAATTATCACGTCCGTATACCCTCTTCCCTTCCGAACACGATAGCCATGGATCAAAGCATATCCACTAACAACGAAGCAGTGGATCGTATTTCCGAGACTACTTCAATCAACCCTCTCCGGCCACCATTGGAACCGTAGTGGCCATCCTCGAGATTGGCGCGTTTATCTCGTCTCTTTTAGTTGGCCGCATCGGCGACGTGATTGGTCGTCGCCGGACTATTCTCTATGGCTCGGCCGTGTTCTTCGTTGGCGGTGGCCTGCAGACCTTTGCAACCGGCATGCCCATGATGATGGTGGGCCGTATCGTGGCTGGTCTCGGTGTCGGTGCTTTGTCAACGATCGTGCCCGTTTATCAATCTGAGATCTCGGTACGGAAACAAGACTTTTATTCTACGATGTACTTGCAAACCCAGTACTAATCATTTGCCATATAGCCTCCCCACAACCGCGGCAAGTTGGCTTGTATTGAGTTCACGGGAAATATTGCCGGATACGCTACCAGCGTCTGGGTGGATTATTTCTGCAGCTACATTGAATCGGATATTTCATGGCGCCTGCCCTTGCTGTGCCAGTGTGTCATGGGAGCCTTGCTTGGAGTTGGAAGCTTGATCATCTGCGAATCTCCTCGGTAAGCAGTCGAGTCGAGAATATTCCTTCCTCGGTCGAAAGTGAAATTAGTCCTGATTCTAACACCTCCATTTTCTCACCCCACAGATGGCTTCTGGACAATGACCACGACGAAGAAGGCATGATCGTCATCGCGAACCTCTACGGTGAGGGAGATATTCATAACGACAAAGCACGTCAAGAGTACCGAGACATTAAGATGAATGTGCTTTTACAGCGGCAGGAAGGCGAGCGATCCTATAGCGACATGTTTAGACGCTATTGGAAGCGAGTGTTGATTGCCATGTCAGCCCAAGCATTGGCCCAGCTGAACGGTATTAACGTGATTTCATATTATGCGCCTTTGGTCTTTGAATCGGCCGGATGGGAAGGCCGGGACGCAATCCTGATGACGGGTATCAACGGCATCACTTACCTTCTTTCAACCGTGCCGCCATGGTATTTGGTCGATGGCTGGGGCCGACGGCCTATCCTGCTCTCCGGAGCGGTGGCCATGCTCATCTCCCTCTCGTTGATTTCATACTTTATCCATATCGAGATCAAGGCGACCCCGACTTTGACGGTCATCTTTGTGATGATCTATAATGCCGCCTTTGGGGCGTCCTGGGGTCCCATTCCTTGGCTCTACCCGCCGGAGATTCTGCCGTTGAGCATCCGTGCCAAGGGTGCCAGTCTTAGCACCGCCAGTAATTGGGCGTTCAACTGGCTTGTGGGAGAATTGACTCCCATTCTACAGAAAGCTATTGGATGGCGACTGTATCTACTTCACGCCTTTTTCTGCGCGTGTAGTTTTGTGGTTGGTAAGGGCTCCCCTTTCCCCCCCTGTTTTTGACTTCTTCCAAACACTCTCTAATCACCCTACAGTATACTTCTTGTATCCCGAGACCAGTGGTGTTCGTCTGGAAGATATGAACGTCTTGTTCGGCGATGCGACTACGGCCATGCCCACTCCAGTCACGGACGCCGAGCGGGGATCGTTGATGGGTGGAGGCTCGCCTGTCCCGTCCCTTGATATTCGCCGACCGTACGGCCAATTTGGAACTGAAAGTGCTATTCCCGGGCTGGATATTGACCCGCCCTCGATCGGTGCTGACGGCCTCGGCAAATCGGGACGAGCTGATTCTCAAGCGGGTAGCCATCGGGGCGAAGGAATCGGAGGCTGGATCTCCAACATGGTCAACCGTCACCGGGGAGGAAGTACTGGCACCAACCCAAGTCAATACAGACGATTGGAACAAGGCGAGGACGAAGAAGACCATTAGGAGCGAATCGCAAATCCTGGCGCGATCGAATGACGGCGTTACTTTCCCTTTCTTTGGCCGTTCTTGTTGCTACCGTTCTGTTTCGGAATCACGTTTTTTTTTTCTCATAAACTATACCATCTTGGCTCTGCTCGTTTATTTTCTTGGCTTGCGAAGTCCTTTCGACTGGCTGTGCAGCCCTCCTTGTCATACCTGTATATTTGATGGTTCAATCTCTGTTGCATGTCGTTCTTGCATTATGTATCATTGGACATCCATTGCATTTTTCTCTCGTACATTATTTTTGTATAGACAGGGAATTGGAAGGGACAATTGCCCTTGAGTTGTTCACATGGGATGGGCTGCGGATCCTCGGGACCCTTTAATGGCTCTGTTTTATACACCATTCTACTCTCACCTGTCTTGAATGCCGAGGCAAATCAAGGCCAGCCTGTCTAGATCGTCTTATCTATCAGTTCGATGATATTAGCCACAGGATGTGCCTATAATCGAATCCGAGGCACTGCTCTGTCATTAGATCAATCGCTAACTATGAGTGGGACGATCAATACACACAAGAAGTTTTACAGATACCGCGGACTCTCCCTGCATAATGATTGATTTATCAAAAAATGTCATGACCATCATTCTCCTAAATATTTTTATCATCCTAAACGGCAGGCCTCCCAATTCAGAGTATTCCACCCCGACTTCGTTCGCGGTGGCCCTTCCCGGAAACGACCCCTTGGGGCATGGAGGGGGGGCTAAAGCGGAAGTGGATCTTGTTTATCCTTCTGGCCAGCTCGCCTTCTCGTCTCAGCCCCATTCTTCGCTTTCTCACTTCCCTTTTTCCTTTTCGTCTTTTCCATTCTTACTTCCAGCGACCTAGCTGTTGGCTCTTTGCGACCTCCGTGGCCGCTATGATTCTTTAATAGCCTTGTTGCTACCCTCTACTCTCGTTACGAAATTAACCACGCTGGTATCGACTGACCTATCGACCTCCGACCTCCGACCTCCGACCGCGCCGTCCACCAACCGACCTATCCTCGTTCTCGCCACCAATACCTTCCTTTTAACTCATTTTCCAGGCCATTTGGCTCCTTGCCAATATGGATACTGCCACCAGCACGGGCGCCAAGCACGACGCCGATCTGCGTCGGCGAAATGTCCCTGACACCGGGAAAGCATCCACACCTACCTTCACGGTCGATCACGATGTGAAAAAGACCAAGCAGGGCCAGGTGAATATATACATAGGCTGATATCCTCGGCTTGCGCTAACACACCATTTCTATACAGTCTCCCTCTTTCCTACATGTTCTCGCTGGCTGGGAACCGATCATCGCTCCGATCCTCCTGACAGCCTTTGCTTTGTTCACTCGACTCTACCGCATCGGTCGTTCGAATATCGTTACCTGGGATGAAGCTCAGTATGAACAACACCTCCTGTCCTGTGCAATTGAACCCCCCCAGACCAATGGCTGATACGGAATCTAGCTTCGGAAAGTTCGGCTCCCACTACTTGAAGCGCGAGTTCTACTTCGATGTACACCCACCTCTAGGAAAGATGCTCGTTGGTCTCTCCGGCTACCTTGCAGGCTACAATGGATCCTTCGAGTTCAAGTCCGGCGAGAAGTACCCCGAGGAAGTTGACTACACCTTCATGCGAGCCTTCAATGCCATGTTCGGCGTCGTGTGTGTTCCTCTTGCTTACTATACTGCCCGCGAGCTGAACTTCCGTCGCGCTACGGTCTGGCTGATCAGCTTGATGGTGCTGTGCGAAAACTCCTATGCGACCATCTCCCGCTTTATTCTTCTGGATTCGATGCTGCTCTGTTTCACCTTCACTACGATGATGTGCTGGGCCCGATTCCACCGCCTGCAGCGTGCCAGCTTTTCGCCAGAGTGGTGGCTCTGGCTTTGCCTGACTGGATTCAGCATTGGCTGTGTCTGCAGTGTGAAGTGGGTTGGATTCTTCGCCACTGCGGTCGTGGGTCTCTACACTGCCGAGGATCTCTGGAACAAGTTCGGAGACGTGAAGATGCCGCCGGTGAGGATCCCTGTGACAATACTTAATCGACAAGAAATCTGTGGCTAACCTTATATTCTTAGACTCTGCTTGCCAAGCATCTCTTTGCCCGTGTGGGAGGCTTGATTATCATCCCTCTTCTGGTTTACATGTTCTCGTTCTACTTGCATTTCACCGTCCTGTCCAACAGCGGTCCCGGTGATGCGCAGATGAGCTCTCTTTTCCAGGCGAATCTGCGTGGTACTGAAGTGGGCAGAGATAGCCCTCTTGAAATTGCTCATGGATCCCGAGTCACCATCAAGAACATGGGTTATGGCGGTGGTCTTCTGCACTCGCACGTTCAAACCTATCCGGAGGGTTCGAACCAGCAACAGGTGACCTGCTACCACCATAAGGATGCCAACAACGACTGGTTCATTTATCCCAGCCGCAACGAGCCCGAGTATGATGCCAACGGTGATCTCAAGTTCATCGCCGATGGAGACACCATCCGTTTCATTCACGGACAGACCGGCCGTAATCTGCATTCTCACGCTGTCGCTGCTCCGGTTACCAAGTCCCACTACGAGGTTTCTTGTTACGGCAACATCACTATTGGCGATGACAAGGATCACTGGAAGATCGAAGTGGTTAGCGATGCGGCATCCCGTGATCGTTCCAAGATCCGTACACTGACCACTGCCTTCCGACTGCGCCACCCGTCCATGGGTTGTTACCTCCGGGCTGGTAATGTCAACCTGCCGCAGTGGGGTTTCAAGCAGATTGAAACCACTTGTGTCAAGGAAAACAAACCGGGCGATGTGTATACTCACTGGAATGTTGAGTCACACACTAATGAGCGCCGTAAGTCTAGCTACCCCCCCTATTCTATAGCCCAGATGAGGTAGACCACCGACTAACATTATGTTCACAGTGCCCCCCGGTGACCCTGGTTCCTACAAGTCGCCCTTCCTGAAGGACTTCATCCACTTGAACGTTGCCATGATGACCTCGAACAATGCCCTGGTTCCCGACCCTGATAAGCAGGATGACTTGGCCTCCCACTTCTGGCAATGGCCCATCCTGAACGTCGGTCTGCGCATGTGCTCCTGGGATGACAACGTTGTGAAGTATTACCTTCTCGGCAACCCTCTCGTCTACTGGGGAAGCACTGGCAGTCTTGTTGGCTTCGGTATTCTGTTCATCTGGTATCTTTTACGCTGGCAACGAGGATACAAGGATCTTACCCAGCAGGAGATTGACCATATCCACTATTCCGGCATTTACCCTGCCATTGGTTGGGTTCTGCACTACCTTCCGTTCATCATCATGGCGCGTGTGACTTACGTCCACCACTACTACCCAGCTCTCTACTTCGCTATCATCAACTTCGGGTTCTGCGTGGATTGGGTTACTCGCAGAATTAACGCCAAGGTATCCGCCGTGGTGTATACCGTTCTTTATGCCGTTACCATCGGACTCTTCATCCACTTCCGTGCCATCGTGTTCGGCATGGAAGGCCCCAACCAACAGTGGGCCCATCTGCGCTGGCTGCCCGGATGGAAGATCTCGAACTAAAGGGACTGAATATGAACTGCCTGTGAAACCGACAAAAAAAAAGTACGGTGGGCTTTTACTTTGGCTCTCTATGGCTGATGTAGAGTTGGTTGGTCCCTTTGCTATTCCACTCGATGTCTTTATTTCATTTTTCGATACGGGAGACTCCGCGAGGCTCAAAATGGGGTTGGATCATTCACAGTGGCGAGGACGTTGCTTATCTTGATGGATTATGCCTTTGTAAAGATAGTATAATTGATCTCTTTCACTGGATCTTATGTCATATGTACATTCTCTTGCAATTAGTGAAGCTTTCCAGCGCGAGGTAATCGCACTGTGGGCAGTTTTAAGCCAGTATTAAATTCCGTTCCATCTGGGTCTAGCAGCAATTTCCGGTCCAGCCACTGCCTTTGCGCATCGCATCGTCCATCCCCAAGGTGACCGTTCTTGGAACCCCTGTATGAGCACCCCCCGAAGCACCAAATCCTTTGACTCCGCTGCGCCGGTCGTTGAGGTCATACCTACCCGCTTCGATATTGCGGTAGATGCGTTCAGCGACTTCCAGAAATGCTCGCTCTACTCCATCGCCCGACTTGGCACTAGTCTCAACGTAGCGAACGACGTTATTCAAACGGCACCATTCCTCGGCCTCCTCCTGGGTGACTTGTCTCTGATTGGAGCTCGATTCCTGACCGGCCAAGTCTGTCTTATTTCCAACCAAGATGACCACGATACCCTCCTCGGCAATCTGGCGTAAATCTTGAAGCCACTGCGTACAAGATACGAAGGTCGATCGTCGGGAGATGTCAAAGACGAGGAGAGCACCGGAGGCACCTCGGAAGTATGAGCGGGTGATCGACTTGTATGTCTCTTGGCCAGCGGTATCCCAAAGAGAAAGCTTCATTCGTTTCTGGCTGGGGGCCTCTTGTGGTTTCCGGGGTGGCGTGGGGAGGCCGCCGGAGGTCGTCGAGACCTCCGAATGGTTCTCGCCGGGTACACGGGCGGCGCTGCGAGGATCCTCATCTAGCCCTAGCTCCTGCGATGCAGGGGGTCCAACCGGGACAATTCTCGATCCGAACTCAACACCGATGGTGACATCGTGAGTAGGGGAGAAACGACCTTCGCAGAGGCGAATGGTGAGCTATATACACAGCTTAGTTAACACGGGCTTGGTCATGGTATTCGAAGCACTAGACTCACGCTGGACTTGCCGGTACCCGAGTCACCGATGCAGACAAGCTTAGCAATATAATCCCATGGCTGTGACATGGAGAAGAGTATGTCCAACGTGGATACGGTAACCAGTCGTGCGCGCAGCGTCAGGAGTGGCCCTGGTTATCGCGAGATTCCTTATCGTACCGCTGAGTCAGCTATCGGGGCCTGACCTGCCCGGATGACGCTTGCATCACCTGAATGACCGGTCAACCTTCAGCTTTATATCTCTCCCCTGCTCGTCCTGCCCGACTTGCAAGATCGGGTAGTTTCAAGACCAGGGATTACTTCATCTACTATCCTCTGCATCTGAGCCTTCGAGAAACTTGAGATCTCGTACATCACCTTTTTTCATACCCAGCTGATCTCCGGAGAGTGGGCCATGTTCTCGGAATGTATGTATATGCTATACCCACCATGTGTTTGGGTGCCTAGCTCACTGGGGTTTTCCTTCCTACAGATGCCTCACGCTTCCTCGCTCAGTCACAGTCGCGAGTCTCATCTCGCCCAGACGAGCTTCAAAGAACCGGTCGTGCTCCTCCAAGTCAACGCCAAGGCAGCACACGACACCCTTCGTCGCGCTCTTTTCTAAGAAGCGGTGACCCGTATCGACCGGGTGCCTCTCAGATCTCCAACTTCCCATTTGCGTCGCGAGTATCGGCTCAACCGGCTCCTTTATTCTACAGCGCGACCGACGAATTTCGGGAAGAAGATGACGAGACTGAGCGGGAACGAGAGATTGCGGACTTCTACGCCTTACAACGTTCAAGGCGACATTTCGGTGACAGCAACTTGAGAGAATCTTTAGAGAATGACGAAGATTCGAACCACTCCGTGGATTTAGAAGACGGCCAATCTCGATACGATGAGCGTCCTGGCAATGGGAAGGGCATCAAGAGCTCGTGGCGAGGTGAGAAGAGCATACCAGCTCCCCGCCAATCTCGAATCGCGACCGTGGAAGAAGGAGTGGAACAAGCACCCGACTCCTTCGCCAGTCCTAGCAGTAGAGCCAGAGGAAATCTAGTGGACGTGGGGTTAGAGGATTCCTTTCGAGGTGGGCTCGATGATACCGATCGTATGCCGTCTGAGATCATTGGTGACGAACCGCCTATTCAACGATTTCGAGAAGGTCCTTCGGTCAAAGATGACTCGTTCGGCTTCAACGCATCCGACAGCCAGGCAGACCAGACTCAACCATTATTCTCTTCGGAAGCTCCGCGACGGTCGAGCTCTACGAGTTCCTTACCCGCATCGATCTCGCCTCTTACATCCGAGACCACCATGCATGATGCCTTTTGGGGCCAACTATTCTTAATCGCTCTTGCAGGGTTATTCGCGACTGCTTTTCTGGTTTATCTCCACACGTCAGCCCCGTCTTCTGGTGACAAGTCACAATGGGGGGACACCATCTACTTCACCGTCCACGGGTCTTATTTTCTGCTAGGCATCTATACTCTCGTATCGATTTTCGTCTCCCTACTCTGGCTGGCCCTATTACGATCTTATGTGCGAATCTTGGTCTACATGATCGTCGTTGCGGTGCCTATCATTCTATACTCATTCTCTTTGTACCCTTTCATCTCAAGCTTTAGGGGTGCATGGAATGGGACCAGCTTCCAAGACAGAGTGATGCGATGGGGCTCTTTGGTTCCTTTCGTGATGGCGAGCTTATGGATTTACAACGTTATCCGAGGGCGTCGAGCAATCGGCAAGGCAATCGGTGTGCTCGAGTTTGCATGTCGTATCCTGGCTGCAAACCCAGAGCTACTTGCCCTCGGCCTCATTATCCTTGCTTGTGTCGTCTCGTGGACATGGATCTGGATGCTCATGTTTACCCGTGTGTTCCTTGGCGGCCATCTATCAGGATCGAGATCCTTTATCATCGATCTGAGCAGCTGGTGGCTCGGTGTCTACTTTGTGCTCATCTATCTATGGTCTATCGGAGTGATTGCAGGAATCCAGCGTGCCGTGACCGCAGCAACAGTCAGCCAATGGTACTTCCACCGCCTCGCGAGCCCGGCACCTACATCGAGGCAGATTGTCCAGGCAGCAATCGTCCATGCTACTAGTACGTTGTTCGGCACGATCAGTCTATCGCGTCTGCTCGGGCTGCTCATTCGTCTACCAATTCTCCTTCTACCCAGCCGACTATCTTCAATCATCAGTCTCTTTGCATACTCCCTTATTCCTACCCCCATTGCGTATCTGACGAACCCGCTCTCTCTAACGTATGCTGCGATCCACTCGCAGCCGTTGGGAGCTTCCGCGCGAGGCCTGAGCCAAATGGCCCTCCTCGCACCATCAGCAGCTTCAACGTCTCTCCACCCCGGCGCCTATTCTCGCTCACCAGGAGGAACCTCTTCTCTTCTTTCCTACCGGCTTTCGAAACTGATCCTCCATGCTACCCGCTTCATGATGTCTCTAGCCCTCGGTTTCGGCGGCTGGGTCACAACGGCTCGAAGTCTGAACACGAGTGGTACAATTCGCGGCAGTATGTATGCTTATGTAGTCGGCCTAATCGCAGCAACGATTGGCTGGAGCATATTGGGTGCCATGGAGAGTGTCATTGCAGACATCGTGGATGCCGCCGTGATATGCTGGGCAAGCGAGGTCGGCGTTTATGGACGGGAAGCTCGATATTGTCGCGAGGCGGGATGGTTGTTTGGAGATTCAAATCCGGATTTCCGACGCGAATACGGGGAAGTCTAAAACCTCCTCTATGATCATGATACTATTTTTCGTTGGATGATTTTTTTTCTTGCTTTTTCGATTTCTTTTGAGCGGATATGACATTGCGATTTGGGTTCTAAACGGTAGTCTATTCCAATAAAATGACTATACTTCTATAGAGACACCTCTCTCTACTGGCTAGGTTCAAATCAACATTTAAGTATACACGATCAGGTGGATATAAGGAAACCCCCCCCCCCCTTTCAATACAAAATGCTACATTCGAAATAAACAAGTTACCTACCGAGTCCTGTATAATTCACATTAATACTTCTCACTGATAACGTCAGCAACTGTATACGAGACCTCTATCTATTTACCCCTATAATAGACTAAGTTAATATTCTACTCCCCCTCCTACTATATCGCCCTCTTCTACAGTCTTTTCTACAGTCTTTTCTACAGTCTTTTCTACAGTCTTTTCTACAGTCTTTTAATGGTCTTTTTAATGGTCTTTTCTAAGATAGGGCTATACATCCATATGACTCTACTGTCTACTGGTATTTTGTCAGTCTCGAATATAGCATTCTATATCAAAAAAAGGGGGGGGGGGATCCCTTATTAGGACTAACCTTATCGTGCCATGAAACTTTCTGTCGTGTCATTAATACCATCCTAAATAAATCACAATACTGATGAAGTTGATCTGTATTGGCCGTGATATATCTTAACATCTCAAATACCTATACTTGAAAAAAATAGAAACACATCCAGGGCTCATTGGTATCATGGCGGAAGAAAAAAACAAATCACTCAAAATGCACACCCTGAGACGCCGAATTACTTGGGAGCCTGGCCTCCTCGAAACGTGGTGAAAAAGAGGGAAAGAGAGCGAGAGAGAGGGGTGGTGGGGAAGGAGGTTGAGAATAAGGTGCAAAATTAACAATTGAGAATATCGCTGGATAAGCTTCAAAAAAAGAATCCAAAAAGCTTTAAAGTCAAAGGGTCAAGCGACCTTGCCATTCCACGCCTTCTTGTGAGCACCATTCTTTCAAGAGAGACCGGCCGAAGCGAACTACTTCGATGGGTGGAGTGGCCGCTCCGAGAGGAAGGAAATATTCACCGGAGTAATCTCCTGGCTTTAGAGATGCTTTACCTCGCTCGGTATATTGATGAGAGCGCCGAGACCAGGTGGTAGAGAAGTCTCGGCTGAGGACGTCCTCAGAAAGACCGCGAGAACCATCGAGCCACAACTTCTGCGACTCCTTGTAGTGTTCCAACAGGCGGCTTTTAAGTTCCGCGAATTCCTTGAGGCTCTTCTTATTCTCGTCCGCTAACACGGTGTTGCCGTCGCTGCCCGGGGTGGGTACCGGGGTGTGTTCTCCGGGTAGCGGAGTGACGGCGAGACGTTCGAGGTCCAATGCGTGGATAGTATCGTAAGAAACTGCACCCAGGAGCTGGCATAGACTATGCAAAATTGGAAAGGAGACGCTGTTCTTCTTGACGGCGCGCCAAAATGGTATAATGGAACGCCAGGCGGACGAGTCTCCTCCTTGCCGAAGGAGAGCTTTCGCTTGGTCGTCGGCCACGAAGGCGAGGACAAAACACATGATCGCTTCGAGAGCAGTCACGACGGCCAGTTTCTCATCGGTAGCGGAGGGTCCGTTATTATATCGATCGGCGGCATGTTTCAGGTCTCGACCCATTTTGGTAAAATTCTTGAAATCTTCCTGCCAGGCCCTCCGCTCCTGATCTCGTTGTTCGTGATTGCGGAAACGATCTGGTTTGGAGGGTGATGCCTTGGTGCCAGGGTCGACCGAGAGACGTTTAGTGGCCGGATTGACGGGTGTCTTGCCTTCGCCGTCCATGGGGTCGTTTCGACGATTTCCATAGCCCTTGAGATCTTTGACGGGTGTCAACGAGGTAGTCTTGACCTTGTCTGGCGTCGGCAGGTGAGATTTCTCAACCGATGGTCGTGGTTCCTTCAAGCGGGCACTGCTGCTGGTGGGACCGGGTGTCGTTTCAGCAGCGTCAGGCTTAATCTTGGGTTTGACTCGATCTGGCGGTGGTTTTTCACGAGCGGGCCCAGGGTCTTTCCTTCGATCGACAAGGGGGACCTCATCCGCCTCGGTGTCTTGACCCGACGGCGAATCTGCACGGTGGGCTTTCCTTTTACCAGAAAATTTGAGCAGGGCGTCAACTCGTTTCCGGTTCACCTTGCCGTAGCGCAATTTCACAATCAGACTCAGCCGGGAGGGATATGAATCCTTAGTCGAAGCACCCGTGCGGCTGCTGGGTAGACTCGAGTTGCTGCCACTATTGGCGGATGTAGGAGTTCGAGAGTGACCTATATCGTCTCGCCTCGGCTTTGCTAATGCATTGTCGCGCCTGGGGGAACTCTGGCCTGGCGAACTTTCCTTGAGCTGCGCCAGTTCCTTCTCAATCTCTGGGGGTAGGGTCGGAGACAATAACCGCGGTAGTCTCGGTCCCGGAGCCCGGTCTGGGCCGGGCGAAGGAGGAAGGGTTGGAGAGAGGAGAATTGGAAGTGATTTGGCGGGTGTGACTTCTTTGCGCGACTCTTTCTCGGGTGATAACCGTGGTCTCTTGGAAGAATGCATGTTGGTATCCTTGGTCGCGTGTGAACTTCCTTGCTCGGTGTCCGTCGTTGGGGGTCGCTTCTTGGCTGTTTTGGAGGGAGAAAGGTCTGGGGCTAGTTTCGGGGTATTTCGATGCTGTGATTCGGGCTTCTCCTGCTTCTCGTGTTTCCTTACAGACTCCGGGTTAGGAGCGCGCGGTGTGTGGTCGCGCCGGTCCGAGTTAGAACGGTCCCGGCCTCTCTGATCATGAATTGCTGGCGATGGGGAAGGAGCCGCTCCGGTCGTTTTCTGGTTCTTATAGTCGTTCAAGCTAATCTTCTTCTTCGCCACGGTTTCTCGAGGTTGCTGCTCGGTGGTTGTCCTCGGACCCGAAGGTTGATCGAGCATCATGCGACCCGACTCGTCGGACCAGTCGCCCACCGCAGCCAGTAAGGAATCGGTGTCGTGGTGTGTCAGAAAGGTCATATACTGAAGTTGCTGCTCGTCGTGGCTAAAGGGACGGTCATGTCCCACGGCCCAATTGCTGTTGGCGGAACGGGACCCGAGACGGAACGGCGCATTCGTGGGAAGGGTGAGGAGGTAGGGATGGAGGGGAAGCACGTCGTCGGAGAGTCGTTTCAATCGGCGGTTGAGTATCTCCAGGTCGGAGGTATAGGGCTGGCTCGCGAGCTGGGAGAATGAAGTATCCGCGGAGGGGGGCTGATCGTTCACCGACATCGCAGTCCGCGGGGGATGTGAAGGGATTCGTGAACCATGGATCACAATGCGCGCGCACGGGCCAGATAAGAGGGATAATGTCGATGTGAGGAATAAATCGAAGGCGCCGAGGAGGGTGAATGCTCGAGCTGTGGTGGACGCTGGAAGTATGCGCCGGAAGTGAGAGGAGGAATCGAGAGCGGGTCCAAACACATCGAGGCGAGGGCGCGCGTGCGAGAGGGAGCGAGAGAGCGAGTCGGAGACGGCGAGAGCGGGTCAACGAGCACCACCAGAGGAGCCTCTAAGGCATCATAAAGGGTGGTCAGTCCCTTTGAACGTGATCGGTTGGCAGGTCGGGGGGAGTAGAGGGTGTCAAGCACAAGCAGGTTGAAAGGGGCCGAGGAAAAGCAAAGGATCAGAGTTCAGGACGTGGAAGAGAGAGTCTCCAAGTTCCTTTCGGAGGGTCTCAGCTCTCTGCCCGCCTCGCCGCTTTGGGCTTTTGACACTTTGACACTCGACACTCGACACTCGACACTTGACACTTTGATCTACGACTATTCGTACAATAGTACCTTTTAACTATGCTGTCATCATAAATATTAAACAATACTCTCCCTTGGCTCTGGTCTATCCGTGTCGATGCAGCAGACGCCCACTTCTTTGTTATGGTTCAAATCACAATTGCATCATTGTGGACATGTTGGGGCATGTATGACCGCCATTGTATACTTTAACATCTCCAATGGCCCCACGAACTCTCTCGCCTGATTCCGAATATCGCAAAGGTCTAGTTCGAATAGTCACTCTTTGTATCGATCCTGATAGGGTCACTAAATAAACCACCATGGTATACTCGAGTTCTATATGTTTGAAACCTCCACAATCCTTCCAGAATCATCTTACTAGTCACCGAGTGTAGCAATAGCTCAAAGATAATGCTTTGTCCCATCGAGACAGCCGATCTAAAATACCTCCGAAAAAAACCCTTTCGAAGGAAATCAGTTCAAGTATATCTGGTTGGATTGACTGTCGAGCTGACCCTGTCGATAGATGATCTACATATATATACCATAAATAGTGCTATAGACACCGGCACACAGTCTTCCTTCTCTTCCACTCTCTATGACCGATCATCCTCCGCAAACTTGTCCTGCCAGAAAGCCCGGAAATGGTGCCCCTGTCCCAACTCCGAAATCTCCTTGATCTCCTGGGGGGTCAACTTAAAGGTCAACACCCGCAAGTAACTGGCCAAACGAGTTTCCTTTCCACTGGTGGTGATTGAAATCACGTCCTGGTCCAAATTCCAGCGGAGCAAGATCTCGGCCGGGTTGACGGCATACTTGGTAGCCAGACCCTCCAGCAGCGAATCCAACGGGCCCCCGGCGGCACGAGTAACCGGCGTGAGGCCAGCATAGCTGACGGTCTTAATACCCTTGCTCGCCTGCCAGGAAACCAAGTTGCCGTGCTGAAGGTACGGGTGATACTCGATCTGGTTCACGGATGGAACCACCTTGGCGGTTTCCAAGACCGTCTCGAGGTGGCCCTGCAGGAAGTTGGAGACGCCAATGGACCGGGCCTTGCCGGAGGCCTTGACCTGTTCCATAGCAGCCCAGGCGGTTTGCAGTTGCTCCTTGGTCTGAGCAAAGAACGGCTGGTGGATAAGGTACCTGAACATATGAGGGAACCCAGCACGTCAGTCGCGAGGTCCAAGGTGCAAAGCAATGCCAGAGAAAACGCAATCAGGAGGGAGTCAATCCGACATACAAATCAACATAATCCACTTGGAGCTTCTTTAGACTAGCATCCAAAGCGGCGGGAATGTCTGCTATGTTCTGGTTCACTTTGGTAGTGACGAAGAGCTGGTCTCGCGGGAGATCGGACTCCGCAATGGCCTGACCCAGTTCTTCCTCGGTCCGGTAGACTTCGGCGCCGTCGAGGTGATAATATCCCAGCTTTACGGCACTCTTGGCCGAGTCGACTAGCTCGCGATTCAGACCGGATGCTTCGCTCCTTTTGAACCATGCCGTGCCGGTACCATAGCCGATCTGGTGGGGGTGGAGGGGTTGACGTTAGTAGGTTCACAACGGAAAGATAACGAATTATAGTAGAGCCATCAGATGGAAGGGTGTGTAATAGGATATGTGAGGTGTCCAGCTAATACTTACCACGGGAATCGAGGTGCCATCGTTGAGCTTGACAGAGGGAATAGACCGCGAGGTAGCCATGGTTATATACAAGGCAATTATGGAGGAGTTATGGAATGGAGAGCTTGGAATTGGGGAAGTGGGCCATACTTAAGCAATCCAACAGCTTGAATCACGAATTAAAGGCTCCAAGTGAATCATTTTCCGATCCGATCTTTCTACGCCCAATTGTGCCCACCCGAACGGAAGCGGGCCAGTTCCGCCAGAAAAAGAGGAGCATCCAACGATGAACCGTAACAGATAACCAATGTCTTAATCAAAGAGAATGGAAACAGTATGCTAGCTGAGAACTATGAAACTCTAACCCAGCAAAGATTACCGAAAACTTACCCCTCTCTCCCCCCCCCCCCCCCCCCCCCCCCCACTGACATAAGTATACGATCAGCAATCCAAGCTTAATGGAGGGTCTGCTGTTCTCTTCCGCGGGCCAGACGAGTCGCGATTAATAATAAGGCACATGATGTCATCCGCGCCGTCCTGACGCGAACGCAGTTTATCAGATTCGATTACTGCGCCAATAGCTAATCATACGAGAGAGTCAACACTGGAGAAACTCTCTATGCCCGCCATCCAGGCTCGTATGCTTCGTGCCTGCACCGGACGATCTCTGTACATGACATCCGCACCATCACTCCATTCAACCATTCGGATCCGACTGGGCCAAATGGCGTCCCATCTCTCCACCACCCCCAGCACGATTCCGGCCGGGACAATGTCCCTGGCAGACTTGCCGAAATCTAATGTCTTCACCTCGAAACTGCCGGCAGACCCGGCATTCGAGACCCCCGAGGCCTCTCACAAAGCGCCGCGCCAGACCCTGGGCCCCCGCATGGTGAAGGGCGCCTTGTTTACCTATGTCCGGCCGGAAACCGTCGAGGAGCCGGAGTTGCTCGGAGTGAGTCCGAGGGCGATGGCGGACCTGGGCCTCAAGCCGGGTGAGGAGCAGACCCCGGCTTTTCAGGCGTTGGTTGCGGGGAATGAATTCGCCTGGTCCGAGGAGAAGGGGGGTGTTTACCCATGGGCGCAATGCTATGGAGGTTCGTCTTGCTCTCAGTCCTCATATTGAAACCACAAGAGAGAATTGAAGTTGAAAACTAACGAATCATCCATCGATGGATAGGATGGCAATTGTAAGAAGTGACCTGGACTCTATCTTATCTCCCAATACCTCAGTGAAGGAAAGACTAACAGCTGCCAGTGGTTCATGGGCGGGGCAACTGGGAGACGGTGTAAGCTATCTCTGTTGGCTCAAAGCGCACCAAAACCCCCTGAAAATCGCTAATTGATTCATAGCGAGCCATCAGTCTCTTCGAAACCACCAACCCCGCGACTAAGAAGCGATATGAACTGCAATTGAAGGGCGCCGGAAAGACGCCTTATTCACGGTTCGCGGATGGGAAGGCAGTCCTTCGCTCTAGCATCCGAGAATACATTGTCTCCGAAGGTATGTTTTCGAGCACAGTTCACTCCTCTTTCCCCTCTCATACAGTATGATGCATCTACTGAAACCATCTATATAGCCCTCAATGCCTTGGGTGTGCCCACTACCCGCGCACTCTCCCTCACTCTCCTGCCAAAATCACAGGTACTCCGCGAACGCATCGAGCCCGGTGCAATCGTCGCCCGATTTGCCGAGAGTTGGCTACGAATCGGCACCTTTGATCTCCTCCGCGTCCGTGGTGAACGTGACCTCATCCGCCAACTGTCCACCTACATCGCTGAAGATGTCTTTGGCGGATGGGAAACCCTCCCCGCCGCGATCTCGGTCGGCGAAGGCCAAACCGCCGCCGAGATGGACGACCCGCCCCGCGGCATTGGCCGCGACGAAGTCCAGACCCAACAGGGTGTAGACGAGAACCGGTTTGCGCGACTGTACCGGGAGATCGTGCGGCGGAATGCAAAGACCGTTGCTGCATGGCAGGCATACGGTTTCATGAACGGCGTGCTCAACACGGACAACACCTCGATCTACGGGTTATCTCTGGACTACGGTCCGTTCGCTTTTATGGACAATTTCGACCCGCACTATACCCCCAATCACGATGACCACATGTTGCGCTACTCGTACAAGAACCAGCCCAGCATCATCTGGTGGAATCTTGTTCGACTAGGCGAGTCACTAGGCGAACTCCTCGGCGCCGGCAACAAAGTCGACGACGAAACGTTTATCAAGGACGGTGTCAGCGAGGAGATGGAAGCGGAACTAGTCAAGCGTGCCGAAACGGTCATCGAACGAACGGGCGAAGAATTCAAAACCGTCTTCCTGAACGAGTACAAAGGTTTAATGTGTCAGCGTCTGGGACTGAAGACGCAACAGGAGTCTGATTTCCAGAAACTCTTTTCCGAGATGTTGGACACGCTCGAAGCACTAGAACTGGACTTCAATCATTTCTTCCGTCGCCTGTCTGGGCTATCAGTTTCCGAGCTGGATACCGAGGAGAAGCGGGTGACTGCAGCAGCAGTGTTCTTCCATGCCGAGGGATTCAGTGTTATCGGGTATACCGAGGCAACGGCCCGGGCTCGAATTGCCAATTGGCTGGACAGCTGGCGGACTCGTGTGCTCGAGGACTGGGGGAGTGATGCCGACAATGAGAGACAAGCTGCCATGAAGACCGTCAATCCCAATGTGAGATTTTTCCTTCCGAGAAACCAAGTGGTTTGCCCTTCACAATCATTTGGATATACGTACTCATTTATCTTTTTGGACTATAGTTCGTGCCCAGAGGCTGGATTCTGGATGAAGTGATCGAGAGGGTGGAGAAGAAGGGGGACCGGGATATCTTGGGGCGCGTGATGCAGATGAGTCTGAACCCATTCAATGACGAATGGGGATTGAACAAGGCAGAGGAAGAGCGATTCTGCGGGGATGTGCCCAAGTACAAGCGAGCCATGATGTGTAGCTGCAGTTCTTGAGGTTCATGCACTCTGCTAGTTCACCTGGACTGAACCTCCTACACCATTGACCACTTCGTCTGGTTAGAACTTAGTCTAAAAGATTGAATATCATGTACATACTACCAAGGCACCACCCACACTTCGGTGGCTACAGGCTACAATCCTACAAACAAGAACATTGTCGAGAGTCGTAGTCATGCATTTTCCCCATGCACCTCAGTATCTCCCGTAACGCGCCCAAAGAAGATCAGAATTCCATGCATACCCAATTTTATTTGCAAGACCAAATGACCCACTGCAGCCTCTTCCAACTTCACACTTTTCCACGCGAGGAAAGCCCGGTAGACACAGAAAAGTAAAAGCAACACTTTCGAAAATCAAGATCAAAGATCTCGATCCAGACGAGGAGAAGGACAATACAAAAAAGGCACAGGGAAGAAATTCCAGCCCCCAGAAATGCAAAGGAAAAAAGAAAGATCCATGGTCGTGATTCAAGCCGTGAGTGATAATACAAAGTCAAACAAACCCGAGGGAAATAGACATCTCAAATCGTGGCGCATGCAGAAAAAGGGGGAGGGAAGAGTAGGAGGAATATGGGAGGAGAGAGAGAGATAGAGAAAATCATCCGTTTTTTGGTTCCGGCACTCCTAGTTCCCGACGAGGACAGGACGAAACAAGGAAAAAAAGACGTTGCAAAATTCCAGCAAAGACATGACGAGTTTTTTAGTTGGGGCAGGCGGCCTGGACGTGGCCGGGCTGCTTGCACTTGTAGCAAACACGCTCGCCACGAGCCTCGGTGCTGCAGTCGCGGGAGACGTGGCCAACCTCACCACCTGAAGAGAGAAAGAGAGGGGTTAGCTTCGTCTTGAGACAGAAGGCAAGGCAGTATCGAAGGATGCAAAGGGGTGAGAGAAAGAGGGTGTACTAACAGTTGTAGCACTTCTGACCCTGGGTGCAGTCACGGGCCATGTGGCCGAAGCCACCGCAGGAGTAGCAGGTCTGAGGACGGCCAGAGCCGTAGGATTGGTAGCCACCAGAACCGTAGTTACCACCACCCTGGGAGCAGTTGCGGGCAATGTGACCGACCTGGCCGCACTTGTAGCACTCCTGGCCGCCACCGGAAGCACCGCCGTAGCTGGCACCACCGCTGCCGCCCTGGGGGCACTCGCGAGACAGGTGACCGGTCTGGCCACAGCGGTAGCAGGTGCGCTCCTTGGGAGGCTCGGGGCACTCGCGGTCTGGAGGAGGTGGAGGGTTAGTTGGGGGACTAAGACCAGTTTGTCGCTCACGGGCGAGAAGGCGACAAAGGTCGTTTCGGTGTTACTTACTGACGTGGCCCTCACCACCGCAGTTGTAGCTATTGGAGAATGAAGATTAGTCGCCGATTCAATCAATGGTGTTGGCGGGGAACAATAAAATTCAGCGACTTACCAAGTGGGGGTTCCCTTCTTGGGGCAGTCCTTAGCCTAAACATCACATCGTGTAAGCTCTCAAGTTCATTTTTCTTTTTCCAAAAAAAAGGAAAAAAGATAGAAAAGATTCTTCCGAAGACCTAGAGAGCTCTCAACGAGCTCTCTGCTCTCTGGAGATCCAATCCAAGCGAAGAGGACACGGAATCTTTACCTGGTGGGAGGCGTCACCGCCTAACGGAGAGGAAAAAAATGTCAGTCAAAAAAAGAAATCCAGGCGCCACGACCAAATCGCGGCCAATGAAAGATAGTGGGGGAATATAAATGCACATAGCATGTAAAAATACATAGCATGGTGCAAATATACAAAGGTGCAATTGGAAACGAAGTTCACAGCAGGGACAGTGTCCACGGCATCGAGAGGCGATCGGAAAGACCGTCCCTTGAGTCGCGAACCAGTGTGCGTGTCATAGGCGAGTTTGAGCATGGGCTCGAGGGACGAAGAACGTACAGTTGTAGCAAGCACGAGAACGGGGATCCATTTTGTTAGATTTGGGGGGTATATATGTCGTTTGGGACGAAAAAGAGGTGTGTGAGATAGTTGGATGAGGAGGGAGGAGATGAGGGGAGGTTTTTTTTTGGTCAGAAGCGGGAGTGGAACAGGCGAGGAAATTTGTAGTGCGGGGGGGGGGGAAGAACCAGGGCGGGAAGATTTCTCCCTCAGAAGTCAGGCAACATTCGCGGCCCAGGTTCACCAGTTGATTCCCCCCGCGGGCAGCATCCTTCACGTCAACCACCATTGAGACTCGCTTGAGATCTTGTTCAAGACCGTGAAGCGCCTCTTCAAGATATTGCTCCTGGCAAAAGGGTGTATGGTATGCACCCTGGCCAATGGGCATGTTTGGCTCTGCATTCCGGGCCCTCTCTCATCATACATGTGGAAGGCTAAGCTCCTATACCTCGACAATACATCAATTCAGCACGCCGATAACATCTCCTCCTTATCCATCATCTGAGACGAACTCCAGCCAGGCTGATCAAGTAAATGAAACAACGCTCGCCCTGCCTACAGCATGTCCACAGGAACAAAGCTTCTCAGGCCGACTCGGGCAAATTGGAATCGGGTCACTCAAGCTGCAGGTCCATTGAACCTGATCAACCAGCTCCGCTGGCTATTCGATCATCAAGAGCTATCTTGAATTGAGCAGCAACACCCTTCCATCTGACCCTGTTGTAGGGAAGGAAGAAATCGTCATGCTCGGCAATCAACGTGGACCGCAGCGAGCTGCCAAGCCAACCATGCAGGGTCGGAATGGTGTTCCAAAAAGTGCCTAGGGCCAGGGCGCTTCTAGATCACAGCCCGGCGACAGCGGAAAGAAAATCGGATCGGGGGTTGCGCAATTTATAGCTGCGCAAGAGTACCCGCCAGGGTCCCCAACTGCTCGCGGGGCAAGTACCTTGTGCTACGGGGCTTGCGCGACCGGGGTCCTTGCCCCTGCGTTAGCGCCCCCCAACCAGCCAGGATGCCGCGATCTTGGATCCAATAGTCGCAAGAGCGACTTGGCTATCTTTGGAAATCGATCGGGATCGTTGATCCATCGTGCAAAATCATTGGGGTTGCCCCCGCCAAAAGCCTCTAAACTACATCCAAGAGGACTTTTCCATCGGAGCTACGTGAAATCGTAGCATTCCAGTAGCTGCGTGCCAACAGTCTTCTCACGGAGCAAAAGTACTCGCTCGTCATCAAATCCAACACATCCATGCATGACGGACACCTCCTCAGGCACACCAGTGTCAAGCCCCGAATCACTCAGATCCCCCCTGAGACTACGGGGCGAAGACTCCAACTCCGATCCATCGCGATCTTTGTTCTCGGGGTTGACCTGGATGCTCTTTTCCTCTTGCAATAATTGCCGGCTGCCGAGAGAGCGCACTGCGGGCTCGAGCTCCCAAATGCGAATCTCGTCGCCGCGAGAACTCACAGAAACCGCTTTCCCTCGGTTAGTGACTTGTACGGCGGATACCGAAGACGTATGTCCCCAAAGCCGCTGACCGCCGCGAACAAAGATTCGGTGGTGGTCCGATACCACCAGGTACATGGTCAAGGTGTTGTCCGCATGCGAGGTCAGCAGATAGGGATGAGAGTAGGACATGGAGGTCGGTGGGTGCGGATGCACGATTGAAGGTACTACGGGGGCTGCAGCAATGGTACCATCACTCGGGTCAGCCCCCATGGAATGTCGTCGCATGCGTGAGGCTGTCCGGGCCCGCGATTGCATAGTACCATACTGGGAATCGACCGTACTGGCAAGTCGGGATTCCATCTGCTGACCATTTTGGTTGAACCGCAGTTCTTGAATGCCCAAAGACCATCCGCAGCCAATGTGGAAGAAACTGTAGACAATCGTAGCGACAATTTCTGGGCCAGATGTGCGGAGGGAAAGGGTCATTGGTGCCACCATATTGGCTGCGTTGAGCGAAGCCAACTTCCGCAGTTTTGTAGCCTCGCTAGTCATTTCGGAAACGTGGGATGAGACTCGGAGATTGTACAACGAAAGGCTTTTGTGTTGGGAAACAATCAAGAGATATGGTGAAGACAAAGCTATGGCGGTGATGGCACCATCCTTGAATCCGATGTGACTAGACCGGAGACGTAGTTGAGACGTTTCCATGTCGAAGACGTAGCGGTTGAAGTGACCATCATCAAACCCAACAACAACTTCCCGTTCGTCATCTAGCTGGCTCACCGCTAACGCGGTTGGAGAGACGGTAGCCTCATCTGGCTGTTTTGGAAAGGGGGCCTTTGCCAGGCAGTATGCGGGATCTTTTGCACACCAAGCTCGTAGGCCATGCGTCGCATCAGCCGTAAAGACAACTCCCGCACAAAGCTTGACTAGTACAGGAGGGGCAGGTGGGTGAGGAAGTTCGACTTCAGTCACTCGACAGACTCCCGTGGACCAATTGTGCCGAAGACGATATTGTCCTTTCCAGTTAGTGGCCTTTCCCTCCTCGGCTAGATGGCTGTGATCAAACCATGTCGAGACCTTTGGCGTGTACTCTACCCTCGGTGGTAGTGACGACCGAGTCACATTCGCTAAGCGACGAGCTCGAGGGCGAACCCATTGTGAATAGTACTGTCTTTTCCACAATTCAGAATCGCCAGCAAGAGTATGGAACCGATGAGACAACCTGGATTCGAAAGTTAGTATATGGAGTGGAGACATAGATTCAAACATTAGTATCATACCTCTGACACACATTCAAGGACGAGATTGGGAGAAACGACAGGACATGGAGCAGTAGTTCATCGCTTAGGGAAGACAAGCGGTCGAGCGGGGAGGTTACACCACCACGATACCTCTTGGCAGAGGGAAGTTCAAACTGTGCATCATCTCCCCGGCGCTTGGACATGCTGCTGAGAAGCCTCGAATCGCATCAAGTGGACATGACCTGTGGTGCCTATGAGGCGAATACACAACGTTGGAAAGCTGCTGATGCTTCGTCAGCGCCCCTTATCGGCAGCCGATAAGCAGTGGTCAAAAGGGCGGTCTGGGAAAGCGGTGTATGTACTGCCCATCTGACGCGTGCTGGTGATCAAGTCGCGTTTCACGGGTCTTTTGGCGAAGGTGCTTCCCCACGAACCCCGATGGAGATTCTAAAGGAACTGCATACCTCTATTGTAGAGGCGTGTGAGTTATCCATCAAGAACACTCAAAAAGAACTCGAGTCCCAGATCGCTGCTCGAGAGGCCCGTGTCAAGGAAGCCGAGACGAAAGCATCAACTGCCCTCGAGGCTCAGAGGGTTGCTGAGCAAAGGGTCAAAGAGCTTCAGCGTGAAGTAACTGCACTGCGGGATGAGCTGAGCACTCACAACACTGATCCGAAGGACCTTGAGCCACCCATTGAAATAAGCAACCTCGAAAGAGAATACGCACCCAAGAACATTTGGAGGACCGATCTACTTGAGGCAGACCAGCTTCGTGACATCCTCGAAAACAAATACACAACCCTCTATACCGATCTACAAGCATTTAGTCGAAGCTGGAGTGGTCTCAAATCAAAGCTACTTCAGCATAAAAAGAAGCTACAGCTCTGGGATAAACAATTGAACAAGGATTCATTCACGATCCTGCTGGATAAAGGTCCGGTCACATTCCAGAGGGTGCTAGACACCGATGCGGCTGTGAGAAACTACCGAAAGTCGCAAACTCCCAATATCAGGGACCAAATACCCTTGGTACCAAACCAGTGTCAAGTCTCGGGCTTTGTCTCCAACAATGGTACGCCTACTCCGAACTTGGCAAGTAGCACGGATGCAAACCCGCGCATCAAAATCGAAGCAAGCAGTCAACAAATGCCTGCTCCGAATCAGACCGTGATAACAGCTACGCAAAACACCTCTGCTAGTGGTGATGTTCTCTCTTCTGAGTCTGGCTCAGACGTACTCTATCCTCTGCCCAACATAGAGACGAAAAAGAGGAAGAGGGTCCATTCATCCGCTCAAGCAGAGCCCAGGAAAGGTGCCCCTGAACGACCTGTACTCGTCAAAGCCGAGACCATGTCATCAAGTCCAATACACCAAGCAGCAAATCTTGGCTTCGGCCCGCACTTTCCGAGCACTCAAGATTTGGATGAGATTGGCGCTACCGTGCCGACACCCACGAAACGACACGCTCACCGGGAGGTTCACTGGGAAGACGGGGGTGAAACATCAACTTTCAGCACACAGAATGACATTCCAGATCGCGAACCCCAACGCCACACCGTGCTACAGCCAATTGATGGTAATATCCGATCACCTAGATCCTGGGGGAAGGGACCCGAGTTGAAAAAGCGAGGAACCTCGAGTTCTCGGGCTCTTCTCATGGCAGAGGATGGGGAATGTGGCGATAGTCAGGATCGTACCCGAAGGAAGCGTGCAAAGAGCGCGGCAGCCATTCCGCACAACACACCCAGGGCCAAAGCGGATGGGACAATCACTCGAGATCGCCTACAGGGTCTTCTGGAAGGGTCATTACCTTCTAAATCACCCCTTCGTTCTCCCCATGAGGTATCAGACCGCGTCCAGAGCGACGGAGGAACTTCTATTATCCGCCAGAAGAGTAGAACCGCAAAGTCTGCATCTCCGCATCCGCACTCAGAACCGGCCGATCAACCATCTCAAGTGAGCCCAGAGGTTCAACCGGAAGAAGAACCATATCGGTCCCGACCTCTGCACCGTCTAAACCTAGGTCATTTCAAGATCAATTTAGCCAGGAATCAAGGTCTCGATTACGCCTACGACACAGTTGTCCGCAAGAAGGATGACCGAAAGTGCATGTCAGGTTGTACACGTCCTGGCTGCTGTGGAGATCGATTCCGTGCAATGGCTCGTATGGGGGTTCATAGCACAGATGCCTCCGCAGAACAGCAGGAGGAGGATCAGCGGATCCTCGAAGAGTATGTTGGCGAGGACCGACATTTGCTCGAGGGACTGAGTGACAAGGACCGCGAAAACCTGCTCGTGGAAGCTCGGGCACGAGCCCTTGCCAACCAGTATGGAAGGCATCGACATACCCATGAACGCGCAAGGAGCCCACCTGGATTCTGGCGAACTGAAATGCCGTCTACTCAGGAAATCGAGGCAGACCGAGAAGCTGCTCGGAAATTGGAGCGAGAGAAGGTCGAAGAGCGATATCGAGAGGCAATGCGACCCGGAGGGCTTTGGACCTGGGCTGATGAGTGATGGTTATGAATTAATGTAGCAAGAAAATATGAACGAACACGATGAGAATTGTGTAGTATATGAAGGTGACCTGATATCTTGTTACTGTTTTGAAAGATTTGTAGAAGGATGAGCTTGTAGGTACAATGGTGGACAAGGAACTGCGGACTCGGTTGTAAGAGCATGCCATAACTACATAATACCTGTACATCAAACGTCAAAATTTACTAGCAATATAGCAATAGTGAAGTCTGTTCATACCCTGCGGAGTGCTCCGTCAGCCGCAAGCATCAACCTCGGCCCCGAGGGCTTGGCAGTGCCTCGTGACCTCCCTTGCTGCCGCCAACCTCTCCCCCGGAATTCGCGAACTCTCCGCATTGATCGGTCGCAGCCTGCAGGATCATGGAGACTATTCGCAACATTCAGAATCCCATCCCTCCGGTGGTGCTCCAGCCATCCAAGTGGTTGTCACTCTATGAGGACTTTGTCGCAAAGAACTCCAGTTCTGTTGGCTCGGTCGAGTCCGCTCTGAGGTCATTGACCTACATCATCCCAGGTAAGATAGGGCTTGGTGATATTTACAAGTGGTTGATCGCTGACAGACTATTTACCATCGTGTAGGAAGATATCGCGAATCCGAAATAACGTCAGAATGTGGTAAGTTGGAGATACCTAATGCCCCTGTGGAGATGCGGTGCGTAAGACGTGACATCTAACCGATTCATGTAGTGCACTCCGGAGTCCAACTTCTATCACTGTACCATGATTCTCTCGTGTCGCGAGTTATTTCCCGACTGCCGTCGACGGTCCCTCGACCACCGCCTACCCCCCATGCGCGATATACTAAATACTGGACCTCGCGCTCGTCGCTCTATCAGCGGGTCGCTGTTGCGTTGCAGATGCTCCAGTACACAGAGCTCCTTTGGGAGATGACGGCGCGGCGACGCGGGCAGAAGACAAAATGGCGTGTCGTTGTCTTCCTTGAATTTGCCAAGGCAATCTGCCGCCTACTCTTGCTTCGACTGACCAACTCGAGACCGTTGGTCAGCCCTCCCCTGCCAGAGCGGGAGGTGGATCCACGGTCGACCCAGGTAGAGGAAGACCAGAGTGACTGGAATGGCATGGAGACTCCCACGAGCGAGCGCTCTACGGACATTAGCTGGACCATGCCTCGCACAGGGCTGTCCTTGCCATCTCTTCCGGATGTGAACGAGGTGTCGAACTATCTCATCTCGAAGGTTCTCACGGCGGATGATATCAAGCCCCCGAAGACGTTGCTTCACCGTGTCACTGGGCAGGGACAGTTGGCAGAGGTGTTGTATATCCTGCGACCAGTTGTTTATGCATTGGCTATGCAGCGATGGAGCGGAGACCGCCGCAGCTGGCGACCATGGCTGATTGGATTCGGTATGGAATATGGTTGCCGGCAGCTTGCTAAGCGTGATTTCCGGGAGCGGGTTGCGGGTGGCCTGCGTGGTCTGACTGGACTCGAGCGAGAGGAACTGAGGAAGCGTGGATGGTCTATGGGTTGGTGGCTGTTGCGAGGCGCCTTCTACGAGAACATCACCAAGTGCGTATTAACACGTAAAGAGTTACCCCTTATTGTCACAAAAACTAACTGGAAACAGATCATGGTTGCACAGCATGACCGGCAAGATGAAGGGCAAGCCACTCCTGGACTTGGTGGGCAGTGTTGTCGAGGACTACGAATACCTCTGGGACAACTACTACTTCTCGACTGCCACTCTGTGATTTCCTCATTTCCAGATTATCCCTTCACCTTCTCCTCATGATACCCAGCTTTTTACTCCACCACTGCACGACTTGATTTCAACGACACTTGCGTAATTGGACGCCTCTCCTTTGTTCATATTGTATTGTATTGCCTTGGATATGCCTGATAGGGTATCATCATTGTTATATATCAGCTTCATTACGCCTTTTAATCCTATGTCAAATCGATGCATCCCATCATATAATCTCTGCTTGTCGTTGTCCGAACCAGTCTCGTAAGCCATCCTTGGTAGAGCCTTTCCCAGGACCCGACGCCAAGAGGAAGTCACTCAACATGCCATTCCCCTCGTCGTCATCTGCAGGCCAATCAACTCGTGCTCCACCCTTCTGCTCAAGCATCTCCTTCGCAGTACCCCAGCTGAAGCGACACTCGCTTCCCCAACCAAACACAGGATCCATGTTGCGTCGGAGCCAGCCGACACACTTGGAATCCGAAGGGTAGCCACTACCCCAACCCTCTGGGGCCGTGGAGTTGTCATCGAGTTGTTGCGCCTTGAGAACAGACTCATACAAGACTTCCAATGCGACATCACGCGTCACTTTGGCAGCCACACTAGCCGCACTCACACACGGATACAACGAATCGGCCTTCTTCGCCACGGTGATTTTGATGGATGGGAAAATGCGCTCGAGTTTGGCTTGGTACGTAGCGGGGTTTCCAATTGTGTCAATATATATCTCCTGTACATTGACAGCACGATCTTGCAGGACTCCGCGAATGATCTCGATTGTCGCGTCCATGGCCTGCGCATTGAGGTTGTAGACTGCAGCGCCTGGCTTCATCATGCCGGAACCGATATCACGCGCAGAAAGAACCTTGATGGCATATCCGCAGGACTCGTATAGATTCTCGCCGGGTGTATTGATCAGGCGCATCAAGTTGGCCCGTACGGCGGGCGTGAGGACTTTGCTGTCATCGAAACTGTGCTCTTGTGCCAGGAGGGAGTGGTGAAGTTCAAGAGGCAGATAGAACGCGCCGTATACCATTGGACCCAGGACTGGACCACGGCCAGCTTCATCGACACCAAGGACACATGGCGTAGGCTCCGTTGTCTGTGGAATTGTGGAGGATTTGTCGTAGGGTATAATTCCGGCCGGGCAGGGCGTGTAATATGCATATGAGTCTCCGGAGAGTAGACGGGCAGTGTCTATACTGGGAGGAATGAAAGACATGGCATCATTGGATGCATCGAGAGCGGTATCCTTGCCCATATTGATAGAGCAGCGTGATTGTTGGAAAACGGGAATCTGCAGAATCAACGTTGAAGAGCGTCCCAAAGTATGCCGACGCGTCGACCGTTCGAGCCTAGCGGCGGGCGTCGCGTTTGTCCCCAAATTCCACCGCAATTACCGCATCATTCCTCTTTCCCCCCCCTCCTCCACCCGCGCTGCTTGGACCGGCTCTTCTACTTTTCACTCGTTATCGAGCCTTACAGGACCCTCTGATCTGGTTAAATTAGGTCGCTTGACTTTGGTTTTTTTTTTTTTTCATCATGGCGCGTGGTGGTTCCACGAAGCCCCGCGACCTCGACTTCTCCAATGTGGGAACTCAGGGAAGGTCAGTCGCGTTCCGCTAGTTGGCGCATGCTTGAAAGGGTTACAATATGCTGACGCAGTTGATGCGCTTAGACGGACGGGTCTCACGATGGAGGAAAGAGAGCGCGACGAGTATGGAATGGAAGAAGTAGAGGGTCTATTCTCGTCTCCTGAGAGATCGCCAGCGAAATTAAATGGATTCTCTCACTCGGATGACGACACTGCGAGCTCTGAGATGTCCATTGAAGACGGTAGGCATGCTGAAAATTGTGCGCTTGGAATTATTTATCGATTGATGTCTGACACTGCCAATTTTCTACGTGATCAGGCAATGCGCCGGGACCCATGGATTATCTCGGCACTTCAAATAACGCGCGCAATGGTGTTCTGCCCCCGGCATCTCAATCCCCTGCGAAATTCTCTCGAAGATCCCCCGTCTTGCGATCCTCACCAGATGATAGGGAAGATCTTGTAGCGTCAAGCCCGTCGTATGGCAGACGTCTGTCATCTGCGCGAGGCGACCCAACCCCCTTGACCAATCGCTCAGTGAATGCAGGCGTGTCGAACAACAAGAGCGCCGCGCGGCAGAATGGGAAGTCGCGACTGGTAGCCACAGAAGCGGCCGACTTTTCTGACGGCGAGGGTGAAGGTGACGAAAATGCGGATGCCTTTGCTCCCGGGGAGGACGATTTCAGCGATGGCTACGCCGAAGGCGATGAAACTGTGATGCCACTTGAGGAGGAAAATGCAGATGCTACGGCACAGAACCTAAGTGAACCGGAAGACGAGGTATCACCAGCACCCGCAGCCTCTCGCCAAACAAAGACGACCGCATCGAGTTCAAAAGCGCCCAAGAAGGGACCTGCGGCAAAGGCTACAAAGGCGACCAAGGCCCCCGCCAAAGCGACCGGGAAGCGACGTCAAATTACGAAGCCCCAACAAGCTGCAGAGGACGAGGAGCCCGTTGAGGCTCGACCAACTAAAAAAGCAAAGACCACTGCTACCGAGCCCTTGGACCCGGAACTGGACCGAGTGGTCGAGAACTATGCCCAGCGTTCGGGCCCATTGAAGGGTCGCAGTCTATATATTCTTAAGCGCGAAGACCCCAGCGCCAGCGAGACGACTCACACGCGCTCGGGACGAGTGTCTGTTCGCCCTCTGGCATATTGGCGCAACGAGCGCTGTGTGTTTGGCGATGGAGAGGCCGCCGAGGGGCAACGATACCCTCTCTCCACGATCAAAGAGGTCATTCGCACCGAGGAGCTTGAACCAGATAGGCCGAAGAAGGGCAAGCGTGGTCGCAAGGGCAAGTCAAAGAAGCAAAAGGACGAGTCTTCTGATGAGGATGAAATTGACGACGACGCGGATCTTTGGGAGAAGGAAACCGGTGTCCTTCATGGCTACGTTTCCAAATGGGACCCTACGACGCAAACCAGCACATCCGAGGAGGAAATAATAGGTATGATTTTTATGTCTGGTTGTTGCCATCGTTTCGCCACTAACCAAGTCGTGCAGATATTGCGTACGCACCGTCTGGCTTCGAGACAAGGGAAGTCAAAGGCGCATCATTCCGCTTCGCGAAACTGCTCAGCTCTTCCTTTATTGGTTCTGGTGTCGTTGAGCTTCCACCAGATGGTGTCAAAAAGCCCAAGAATTCGAAGAGAATGCACATGGTGTTCTATGTCTGTTATGGCCGAGTACAAGTCGACATTTGCGGTGTGCAATTCAGTGCTGGCAAGGGATCCGTGTTCCAAATTCCACGAGGTGAGTCCATTTTGACGATGATATCAATTATTCTCCTTCCTACTGACACTTTCTCGACAGGCAACTACTATAGCTTCCAGAATTCGCATGACAAGAATGCTCGACTTTTCTTCACCCAATGCTGTCTTCCAGAGGGGAGTGAAATGCCCGTGCAATCTGAGACTGCAACGCAAAGCGAATTTGAAGCCGAAAGCGGCCCATCGGAGCCCCCAGCTGCAAAAGCTCGAGGTCGTCCCAAGGGCAAGCAAAAGGCCAAATGAACGCTCTGAAATCGCTGCTCTTCTTCTGCCGTTGCTTTGACTTTTGTGGCCAGCTGGAGCTGGTGAATGTGCTATGATATCCTTTCTATCTGTCCTATTACTCTAGCGGGTTGTATTCTCTACCATGGATCCCTGGTTGTTGGTGTTTTGAGTTGCAGATTTTAATTGGGTTGTGATAGTTGGTGATGGACAGAATGCACCGTCTTCTTCTAGTTAATATTCTTTCCTCCTGATAAACTAGATAGCGCGTGGCTGGCAAGTAGATAGATGCCAGGATGTTCCGCGTCAAGGGCGATTCTATACTTATTTGTTTACTGGTTTCGTAACAGCTCGACTATGGCTTCACTGGACCAGTATAGCCAAAAACATCTTTCAATAATCACCAAGTTTGTCCAGCACAACGCCAAACATCCCCAAACACATACCCTCCACTCAAATCTCCTCCATCAACTCATCCATCTCATCATCCAGACCCAACGGCGGGAAATCACCCACCTCAACCTTCTCAGGCTTAACAAAAGCACCACACTTCTCCATACACTGAAAGTACCGACGACCACCCACGCTACCATCATTCTTCCCCGTCGGCTCATCCAATTCAATACCCACCCAGATAGGCTGCAACTCGACCGGAAGCTCGCCATCTTTCTCAAGCTCACGGCCCGGACCGGTAATCGGGATAGTAGGCACGGGGCCCACGAAGCGGATTGTCCCACGGCGGATGTGCGGCGGGGATGACGGGAGGATGATAGCCCGTTCGTCAACGGCAATACCTATAAAATGAAATCTCAGAAAAAGTCTCCAACCACCCAATTCATCACCATCTAAAAGAATCTAGTGAATCAGGCATCGGAATAGGCACTGTCATACCTCGACTAGCAAGCTCAGCCTGATCTTTCTCGACCTGCTTGCGCAGAGATTCCTCGGGGGAAGCCGCATTTGGATCGAAACGGCCAAGCTTCTGGTTTCTTTTCCAGGCTAGGACCGAGTCGGAGAGGGTTTCGTAGGTTTCTGGGTTCATTTCGTACTTGTCGACCGAGGAGAGGTCGGTGAAGTTTGGGCGCATGGCTTGGGGGCGGGAATCGTGGACCTGGGAGGTGGAATTAGTAGGGTGTAGCATGCTTAAGCTGAGAAAGAGCTCGATCGTTCGGGCTGTGAAGGTTTCTGTAACAAGGCAGTTTCCAAAACATGCTCTTGCTCGCCTCGAAGTAGTCCACATGATCAGGAGATCCCGTATACAAGACCGCGCTGTCCATGAGAAAGCGTAATCATATACAGCAAAATCCAACACTGATATAGAATCATTCTTCCAGGAACACCGAAGGAAATACTTTCGTCCAAACATCCACATCCCAACCAGTCACAAAGGAATCAAAAATCAGTAAAAAAAAAAAAAAACCTACCTCAATCTCAGATCCCTTGACAATCCCATAATCCCCAATAAGCTGAGCATCATTATCAGCCCACTGATCCGGTCTCCCAGGGACCTTCACACGAAGCCGCTGACTACCCGGCGGAACACCAGTCATAGTCTCGAGCTTGCTCTTGACCTGCTCGACCGTCCAGGTAGGCGTGATACGGCGCTCGGTCAGGAATCTAGGCTCCGAATCCGCAGAGCGGGCCACAGCAGTCGAGGTGATGATGACGGAGACATCCGTCGGGGTAGGCTGGAAAGCCATTTTGGAGATGTGTGAATGGCGATGATGGCGCTGAGGCAATATGTACAGCACTCAGGGGGGAAGAAACTGGGGTTTCGTAACGCCAGAGACTGATGCTGGGTGAAATTAATTAGCAGGGTGATTCAAGGATGTAGAGAGACACGGCCAGATGGAGCAAGAAACGGGGAGAGAGGTTCTGGAGACAAGATAGATTGACCTCGAGGCCATGCATTAAAGCTCGAGAGTATCAGTCCAGCATTTGATATCCGGATATCAAACTCCCCTGGTGCCTCTACAGGACCCTGGATGATACCCCCCCAGCTTCAAAGCACACCGAACCCATTCGCAATCCCTACTGATTCCATTTACGAGCAAAGCAGCAGCAAACTTACCCGGACACAGCGAAGCGAGCGATGTGCTGCTGAACAGCACTGCTGGGCATCCAAAATAGGTGCGCTTAGTCATCCATCAGTTGGCAATCGGATCCATCGAAAGGGAAAGAAGGAAACAGTCCAGAGAGAGCGCAGCTACTGCAGCAGGCTTGGACCAAGTTTAGATTGAGTATAATGGCTGCAAATCCTACTGGGGATATCCTTGGAGATTTAGTTAGGCGAATTGTGAACATTTATAAAATTCAGATCTTTTGGGATCTTAATCTCATCGGTACTATCTAGTAGGCGGGGAGGAGGTAAGGATTGGGGGTTGTAGGAAGGGGTATATTTGACCTGAATATATAAATGAAAGTAATATAAATATGTATTTGATCGACAAGAGTCTGCATCCTTTACAAAAAGACATAGTCCAAGGAAAGTACATTCTTGAGGTTCAATGGATTAACTCAAAGTATACAATTCCCCCGCGGAGGGGCAAGGAAAATGTCCGAAGCCACGTGATCCCCTCGCTTGCCTTCCGCCCATCTCCAGCGAACCAAGCAACTGATACTCGTCGATTCCGTATCCCAGGACACTATTTTGACTCATTCAACGCTGTCCACGGCAAGCCAGCACTATGGTCGACCAGGCTGAGGTATACGAGGAGCAAAATGTGCATGAGGTGTACCAGCAGATTGCAGGACACTTTTCAGCCACGCGGTACAAGGTGAGTTGGAACTGGTGGATTCGATAAACCATTTGCCATTGGCTTTTCGCTGGTGCAGCTCAGCTAACGAGGGCCATAATCCTATGATGTCTTATCTAGGCATGGCCAGTTGTTGAGCAATTCCTCCAAAGTCTACCACCAGGGTCCGTTGGACTGGACGTTGGTTGTGGCAATGGCAAGAATCTCCAAGTGAACCGGGATGTCTTCATAGTAGCTTCTGATCGGTACGTACATATCCCACGATCTACGTTCTATTTTGGCTTTTCTTTATCATTAAAGATCGTACGAGGAGATGCCGTAAATTCGTATATGTGGTTCTTATACTTTGTTTTTTTTTGGTCTTTTTTATAGTAGATTTCTCGCTTCATATCACTTTCATTTCCTCGTCTTTCTCATCTCCACACAGAACAGCACCTCCTCATGGAAGACCCACTGGGCCAGACCGTACACCATACTAACGACGGCCATAGATCCGAAAACCTGGCCAAAATAGCAATCCAGCAACAGCCCCATTCGGCAGTGGTAGCCGATATCCTCCATCTTCCACACCGAGATGCATTCTTCGACTTTGCCGTCTGTATCGCCGTGGTACATCACATGTCCACCCCGGCGCGACGGGTCGATGCTATCGCCGAGATCCTGCGAACCATCAAGCGCGGATCAGCGACGCAACCGGGCGGGCGAATCCTGGTGTATGCATGGGCACTCGAGCAGAAGAATAGCCGTCGTGGCTGGGACAAGGGGGACGCGCAGGATCTCATGGTGCCGTGGGTGCGTCGGGCCAAGCCCGGATCTGGGGAAGAGGATCAAACGTTCCACCGCTACTATCATCTGTATGAGAGCGGGGAGTTGGAGCGCGATATCAAGCAGGCTGGAGGAGTGGTGGTGGAGTCCGGGTATGAGAAAGACAATTGGTGGGCGATTGCAACGCCCAAGCACGATTCATGATAAGATGGGGTGGGGGGAAAATGGTTTCCACTTCGGGAGCCAGCCTCGAAGATAGACCCCCTCCATCATCACCTGCGCAAAACGTGAGGAATGCGTGATTTCGTTGGGAGTGGGAGAGAAGGAGAGAGGTCGAGTCGAATGGTTGCGCCAAAATAAGAGATTGAAGTCTCTCCATATCTTTCTTTCCAACCCTTCAAACCGACACCAAATAGAGAGGAACTTTTGCCCTCTCTCTGCATTTCTCTCTCTCTCTCTCTCTCTCTCTTTCTCTCTCCTATACCCAAAGAATCAGGAGAGAAGGAAATGGTGAAAAACAAAAGAAAAGATGGGACAACGGGGAGGTGGACACGCAAATTCTCTATACAATTCACGACCTCTCAACCAAAATCACGGTATACCTCCAACCGGCGCTATGCAATTCGTATCAAAGAGGACAAACAGAGAAAGAAAAGAAGAAAACAAAAGCCGTACGGGGGCGTGGTCGTCATCTCGTCTCAAGGCAGAGTTCGCGGAGGCAATCCCATATGCGGACCCATGAGACCAGGCGGGGGAATTCCCATATCGGGTGGTCGTCCAAGGCCATAGAATTCTCGTGGTGGGGGCGGGGCAGGTGGTGCATACGCGGGGACACCAGCCGTCAACTCTTCGAGGGAAGGTAATTGGGGTGGCAGGCCGGGTAAATGGCCTGGAATAGCGCGGGAGGTGGAGCTCTTTCGAGGTCGAGCGAGGGATGTGCTGGCACGACGGGTTCGCGTGGTGGGTGGATCGATGGCGGTGCTGGATAGCGAGAAGGGTACCACGCCTGCGCGGCGGGCCATCTCTTGTTCCCCGAGTTGCCAGTGCATGGCTTCTGCCGCACGCCATGGGATGGCCATTTCTTCGGCGACCTTGGACCACATCTCTGCTTTAAACCTACTCGTTGCTGTTAGTCTTTTGCTTTGTTTGGAGAGATGACTTTCCCCCCTCAGCCCGACCCAAACCGGGTTTGTGATATCCCCAACAAACAAGCTCAGTTGGACGAGATCTGGTCATGGCTTACCGTTCATATAATCGAGCCAACTTGTTCTTCTTATCTTCATCCCACTCACTGCGACGTTCGAGATAATTCTGATAGTGAAGACGACAACTGATCGCACTGCGACCTGGCAAACGTTTGCTGATATCCTCCCATTTCATCCCGCTGCCCCGCAGTTCGATGATGAGCGCATCCTCCTCGGGCGACCACTTGGACTGCTTTTTAGCAGGAGACTCGGCGGTATGAGCGGGTTGTAGACGCTTTGCAGGAAGCCCCGGAGCAGACTTGATCAATGGTGGTGGCACGACCGGCGGGCCCGTGGTCAAGATTGGAGCTGCGGGAACTGGCGGTGGGATGGAGAAGCCTAAGCCCGTCCGAGGGGGATAGACGGGACGTAGATTCCCCGGGGCTTCTTCCTCATCTTGGGGCTTGAGTAGTAGTGAGATATCCACTTTGGCGGGCGGCAAGATAGGCCGATTTTGTAACGCAATCATATGCGCGATGGAAACCAGCGGGTCGTTTCGGAATCGAAAGTAGATAGACAGGCCGTGGACCCCCTTCCAGAAACGAGAAGATCCAGCTGGAGGAGGGAAGGAGGGGGGGGGGGAGGGAGAGGAAGAGAAGAGAAAAGGACAGGAAAGAGAGAGAGAGAGAGAGGAATCGAAGGAGAGTAGTAGTAGTAGTACTAGTCGGGCAATAGTAGACGACCCAAAAGCTTGTGATCTCAAGGTGTCTTGAATGACGACAATCAACAATCAACAGTGCAGTCCGGATGACCTAGGGTTGGTGATGATGATGATAATAGTAGACCGTTGGTGGTTTCGTTCGTTTCGTGATCTCTTCTTTTTTTTTCTCTCTTTACTCTCCGGATGATCAACCAGCAGCTATCAGACAAAGCCGGATCCAAAACGTGTTCGGCGGGGGTTCTTCACAGCAGAAACTCAAAGGAAACTCGCTGGTCTCGTGCAACGAATGGTGAGGTCAGAGTAGGCGTGAGGGCCTGGCAGAAAGCTCGGTACAGGTACAGAGTACCGTGGAAATGGGTGGTGTCAAACC